TGTGAATGCAGCACCTGAGATCTATCAGCACGAGATCCACAAAGTGCTTCAAGGACTACCTGGTGTTGCAAACATTTCTGATGACATCATCATTCATGGTGCCACGCAGGAAGAGCATGATGAGAGGCTTCGACAGACCTTGACACGATTGAAAGACGCAGGATTAACGGCCAATGCAGAAAAGTGCCTGTTTGGTGTGTCCGAGTTAGTATTCAGGGGACACAAGTTGACCAAGGACGGCATCAATCCCACCAAGGCCAAGATTGAGGCTGTAGCAAACGCATGTGAGCCAATACGAAGTACGCTCTTACCAGCTGGTCCATGGGAGGATGTCGCAGTAGATTTTTTGGGACCACTTCCATCTGGTGAATCAATTCTAGTGATCATTGACTATTACAGCAGATATTACGAATATATTGTGATGCGATCTACAACAGCAGAGAAGACAGTGGCAGCTCTAGCAGGGATCTTCGCAAGACATGGTTTGCCACTAACCCTGTATTCTGACAATGGGCCTCAATTTATCTCGCAAGTCTTTGCGGACTATATGAGGCTGACAGGTGTACACCACCATAGGGTTACACCCAAGTGGCCTCAGGCAAATGGTGAGGTTGAGCGACAGAACCAATCCCTCGAGAAGAGAATGAGAATTGCTCATTCAGAAGGCAAAGACTGGAAGGAGGCGCTTCTGTCATATGTTGCAGCATACAGGGCTACACCACATAGCACAACAGGTAAAAGCCCAGCTGAGCTACTCTTCGGACGGAAGATCAGGACAAAGTTACCTGTTATCAGTGAATCTCTAAATGACCAAGAGATCAGAGACCAGGACGCTGAGAGCAAAGGTGCATCGAAACTGTATGCAGACTCTAAGAGGGGTGCCAAACCATCTGATGTGGTGCCAGGAGATGAAGTTCTGGTGAGGAGGGAAGTGTCTAGCAAAATGGACACACCATTTCTAACACAACCATACACAGTTGTATCCAGAGAGGGCAACAAGCTGAACATTTGCTCACCAGAAGGTGTGATGTATGCTAGGAACACATCACATGTGAAGAAGTATCATCGACAGGGTATACTGCAGCCGGAAGCTGAGACTACAGAGGCCCAGGTTCCACTCTACCATGGTGTTGGTGCTGAATTGATAACACCGCAGTCTGATGTCGAGACTACTAGTGACATAGGAATACTGCAGCCGGAAGCTGAGACTACAGAGGCCCAGGTTCCACTCTACCATGGTGTTGGTGCTGAATTGATAACACCACAGTCTGATGTCGAGACTACTAGTGATCAGAGCCAACATGAGGGGACTGAGCGTCAGATGGGAGTTCCGAAGACCGTACCATCACCGACCCAGACATCAATTTGGAGCAGACCAAAACGCCATCGTTTGAGGCCCAAGCGATTTTCTGATTATTTGTTGGAATGAAGATTCGGTGGAAACAGCCATCTAGTATTGTGACGCGAAGTGTTCAACCAGTAAAAGTGACACAACAAAGTTTTTCAGTCATTTGAATGTTTGAGTGTTAAAATGTTTCACAAAGAGTTCAAGTGCTATTTTAGCAAGTACATAGGGTGTATGCCTGTACGCTGCCCTATATTTAACGGAATGTTCACTATATAAGGGTGTATGCCTGTACGCTGCCCTATATTCAATGAAAAGTTCAGTAACCGGGTGTATGCTTGTACGCTGCCCTATTTGAAGAAGAAAAAAAAAGTTTGGGTGAATGCTTGTACGCTGCCCTATTTGAAGAAAAAAAAAAAGAAGTAGTTTTGGGTGAATGCTTGTACGCTGCCCTGAGTTAAAGTGATTAATTAGTGAAATTTAAACCAAAACAAAATGAGAGAAGAAAAGGGTGCAAGCTAGTGCCAAGAGAAACGTGGGGATTCATCTCAAAGCAAACTCTCAAGTTGTTAGCTGACTTTGAAGCTCAAGTGAAAGACTAGCAGCTGAAGAAAGGACATTATAAGATTAATTATAATGAGAACTCTAAAATGTCTCATGACAGATCTGATCAACATCCAACCCAGAGATGAATATTGAGAACTCTAATGCATGCGTCTTATGAAAGACTCGTATTATAAACAAACAGAGACTTTATAGTTAAAGCAGTTTGATATGTCAGTCAAGTAGTTAAATGAAGTGAGTTGATCATACACTGCATATATTGTAATGTCAAGTTGTTTGAATATTCATTTCATGATGTGTATGATGAGAAATGTATAAGTTCTGAATTGGGAGTTCATTGTTTTAAAAACAAAAAACAATGTGTGTTTGGTTGAAGTTCAAGTTCAATAGTTCGAAGTCAAGTAATACACGAGTCGTTATTAGTATGAAAATAAACAAACGATATTTGGATATCGATGTGGTCAATGGAAAAGTCACATACATGTATTATATTGATACAAACAGTTCAAAACTTATTGCATGCTAAAACAAGTTTTGAAATCAGGGTTCATGATTATTCATTGAAGTAAAATGGAAAAGATATCTTTTAATCTGATAAGGGAGGGATGTCATGATGTTCGATTAGACATGATATTGATATCGATGTAAACAACAATGTGATCGAGAGATAATGTAATGCATTGCATGTTGCAAGGTCAAGAGGTCAAATACGGCATGTTACATGTTGATGAAGCCGGAGCGGAAAGGATACAATAAAGACTATGAGACTCGTAATACTTGTGTTGAATTCCATTTATTCTATATCCTGGTTAGGATATGACAACCACCACTCTTACATGTTACATGCAGGCCCTACGGAACGTTTTTCAAAGTAGGGGGTGGGGGGCTAACGTTTTCACGATCAGGTAGAGCGTAGCGTATTTGGCGTGGGGTCTAGGTGGCAAAGGCCCCCCCCCCCCCTGGGGGGTCGGGGGAGACTAGGGGGTCTATAAACCGAGCCTGTGGAAGCCCAGGGGGTTTAGGCATTTAATTACAGTCAGTTGAGCATATTTTGATACTTTATTTGTGACACTATAGGACACTAAAAGAGTAGGGGGGGGGAGGCTTGAGCCCCGGCCGTTGCGCGGGCCCTGATATGTATGCTTCCACATAAGCCTTTTTTAGTTGGCCTAACTGTACTTTTTGGAATTTGTCGTTTTCCAACAATAAACAAGTATAATTTACAAAAAAAGTGAGATAAAAATACCAGAACAATCATGTCATTTCAGCAAATCTTGGATAAATCACTGGTATGAAATTATAAATAAACCGAGTTTAATTTTTTTTTTTTTTGGGGGGGGGGGGGGGTTGAGCATATACTGTAAGCCAGTAAGGCTAATTATAGTTAATATTAGCCGACTTCAAATAATAAAATACTTCCTATATAGGCCTATATAAATATATAAAAATTAATTTCATTTAATGTCTATTGTTTCCCTCCCCCCCCCTCACTCTTTCCCGGCCCACTTTTTATTACTAATAAAACTAATATTATGTTTATACATGTAGACTGTACCGCGGTATCATATGAATGTGTATACATGTGGTTGTGGAAAGTACAACACCAACCATATAGATTTTCATACCACATATATGACAAGCTTTATATTCTGTGTCAAGATACATATACAAGTAAATTTCTGTCAGCATGTTATGATGTTGAGGTGTCTTTTGATGTCAAAGCTGATTTACTCGTTGAAATAAATTATTGCAATATTGGTAGGGTGTCTGATAGCGCACCCAATGTTGTGTGCTAAAACTCTTCCCATAGAGATTGTACGCTTCCCTATGTGGTCTACGTGCATTGCGCGACCATCCAAAATTGGTCAATGATTTTATGAAAAAATTTGAAATTCAAACCTTTATAACAAATGATCCTGAAGGTGAAACTCAATAAATGAGGTGTCATATGAAAGAGCAGGTTTTTCTCCATATTCCCCATAGGGGGCCACCCCCAGAATTCTAAAAATATCTTGGTCAAAACAGCGATTGAAATGTTGTTTGCATCCTAGCTCCAAAATTTGCCACTTTCCTGAGCTGCGCCCCCGCGGCTTAAGCAGGGCTAGACGTAAGGATAATATCCAGATGCTTTTTTTTTCGCTAGCCCCAAGGGATCATTTGTTATAACAGTTTGAAAATACCCTTCCCACATTTTTGGAATCAGCTAATTAGGGAGGCGTGAGCTCCGCTCAGTCCAAACCATGGTTACATCGCGTAACATGTGCGCTTATAGTGAATGAAAGTATGGGTGGCCGTTCCCGCCATAGAACCCGGAAATATCGCGGAGACAACATGCAGTTGTCTCCGCGATATTGCCATTGACTACAACGTGTATTCACTTCCGGGTTCTATGGCGGGAACGGCCACCCATACTAGTCAATGGCATATATCGCGGAGACAGCGTGGCTCAAGCTTGCAAGTCACGCATTGGCTGAGCAACTTGCGTACCATATGCATACGCTTGCATATCGCGCGATACAGCTGTTTGGCTAAATTTAGCAAAACAACATAACTCTGCGTGTACGTCTTTTTCGTCGATTCTGAGCAAAATGCTATGAATATTTCAGCGTTTTGAAGGGGCTGTATCTTTTGATAGAAACATCGGCGAGACTTGAAATTTGAAATGTATTATTCTGATTACATTTTTAATTCAAATATCAAACAAAAATGGTGAAAAACGATCCCAAATTGAAAATTGAAAAATCGTTCAGACACCCTAGTAATATTGGGTTAGACCCTAGTCTATTTTCTCTTTTCCATTTCTTTAATGATTACAATAATAGTAATAGTAATAAAATAAACAAAAACAACAATAATAATTACAATAGCAATAATATTAATAATAGTAATAAAAATTTAACCCCTACAACTCCAAACGACTTGTAAAGATAAAAAAAACATCATACCACTTCCGGGTGTCTGCTGGCCTGCTCTTTTGCACGTAGACCATTCTACCATTCATGTGTGCCGAGCTTCGGCAACGCTTGACGCGTCACTCATGAATTAAACTCTAGCTCTCGCTACTAAACATCTCTTTTAGTCTCATACTTACTCCGTCTCGAACATATTCGCTGACTTTTGGATCTGAAACATCAAGCCTTGGAATTTGTTCGCTTGGAAATGTGTATTTTCTATGCTGTAAAGGGTCTAAATCAATTCGACATTTTGTATTTTGATCCGCCTTTGAGGTTCCGCATTCACTTGCAGACGACGCCATTTTCTAAGCTCTCGATGTAAACATTGAGGAGATGGCGCTATAATTTTTCGGCCTCGACGTTTACTAGATCTGTCTTCTTCCAGAGTCTTCGAATTCATCAATAGAAGATTCAAATGAAGATGCTGGTCAAGGTTGGAAATAACTTTGTGGCCATGAACATATTGGAAGCAAATATAGTCCTACAATATTCAGTGATCGTTGTCGCGGTTGAAATCGAGTCTAAAGTTATGAAATTTTAAATAATAAACTCTTTGTTGTATAGCTCCCTCTCAAGGTCAATATATTAATTATGCTATAAAAGAATGTTTCTTGACTAAAATCGACCGATTGGCTTTTCCTGTTTGGTAATTATATATCACAACTACATATTCTGAGATTTTCAGAGTCGCAGCTACCATTCTACGGCCGTAGGCGCTTTTTGAATTTATCAAAATTTACCGGGAGCACCGGTAAATTTTTATATTTATTTTTTCTCGGAAGCAGAAGTGTTATAGGGGCTAAATATTCTAACACTTATAATACATCCACAAGGGCATCCAAATATATCAAAATTGTAAAGAATCACTATCCACCCAATTTTCAAAACTCCCCAAAACTGTGTATTACCTTTAAAAAAGTATCACTTATCTTCGTGTGTATACACTTTCAAGAGGAGATCAATTAATTAAACCTAATTGAGAGAACATTTTTCAAAAGTCGGCACTCTGATAAACGCAGATAAAAGAGATTGTAGAAAGTCACATAAAAAGGGGGAAGAACAAAAATTAGACAGAAAGAAAGGAATCATGATTGAGCCTGCAAATTTAGATTGGTTCAGATCCTACTTATCTAATCGACACCAAGTAGTGGCCATTCATGATATTCGTTCCAAACTAATGCCTATAACATGCGGTGTTCCTCAGGGAAGCATTTTAGGCCCAATTCTATTTTCAAGTTATTTGTATAAAAGACTTCAAACTATTATTGTACGCAGATGACAGCGTACTACTCTATTCAAATCCTAATCCTAAATATATTAAGGAAAAGCTCAGTGAACAGCTGTCTACGTGTGTCGATTGGATGACTGATAATACGCTTTCTTTACACTTGGGAAAAACAGAAAGCATTTTATTTTGTTCTAAAAGTAGTTCTAAAAATTCATTTGAATTTAAAGTGACACACAATAATCAAGCAATCAAGAGAAAAGAGTCTGTGAAGTATTAAGGCATTGAGTTGACTAGCGCAATTTCATTTTCATCTTTAGTAGAATCAGTTGTAAAAAAAGCAAATTCTCGTCTGAAATTTTTGTACAGATATCAAAGTTGTATGGATTTAAAAGCAAGACGTATACTCTGTTTTGCTCTTATTCAATGTTTATTTGACTATGCTAACCCTGCATGTAATTGTAACATAAACAAGTCAGATCAAAAGAAGTTGAAGATTATACAGAACAAAATGGTGAGATTTATCAACTGTTCTGGTCCAAGAACTCATGTTGGCTACAGCGAACTTCCTAAAGCTGGTTTTCTTGAAGTCGACCGAAGATCAAAACAACTCGTATTGCATCACGTGCATAAAATATATCATACTAGGTCGAATCATTATATTCGATCCAACTTCGATCTTGTTACTGACGTGCATGATTATAATAGCCGATTCAACTTTAACTTACCAGAAAGAGTAGGTAGTATTGGAAATTCGTTTTATTACAATGCCATAAAACATTGGAATTCCCTTCCCAATGGTGTAAAAGAAATAGGAAACTATGATCATTTTAAGAGGAAATTAAAGAAATACCTAATACTTGACAGTCAGAGAAGAGAAGTGAATGACATGTTATATGATTGAAATTTTTTATTCTTCTGTCGGTTCATACTTTTTCATGTTGTATATACTTATGTTTTCGTACGTTATAGAAATTCTACAAATTCATCATTATTTTCCTCTTTCTTCCTTCTCCTCTTTTTCTTCTTCTCCTTCTTCTTTTTCTTCTTGTACTTAATATCATTTCTATCATCAGTTTAATGTTACTATTATTATTATTATCTTTAATAAGTAGTTCTTTTAATTTTTTTACCTGTCTGTAAATATTACTATAATTTAACTTATTAATTTTATACATGTCTGTAAGGGACCCCACTGGAAATAAGCTCTCGAGCTTTCGTGGGTTATCCTGTTCAAGCTGACTTATTTTTGATCCGTTATTATTGTATATTGTTGTATGTTGGAAGCTTGTCGAATAAAAATCAATCAATCAATCAGTTGATGAAGAAGACAAGAAAGAAAAACATCTTTAAAAATTAAAAAAAAGAAAAAAAGAAAAAAAGAAAAGGAAGAGACAAGGGGAATAAGGCAAAGTAAGGGGAAATGTGAGGATCAATGAGCCAAAAGTAAAAAGAAGAAGAAGAAGAAGAAGGGGAAGAAGAAGGAGAAGAAGATGAAGAAAAAGAAGGAGAAGAAGAAAAAGAAGGAGAAGAAGAAAGAGAAGAAGTAGATGAAGAAGAAAATGAAGAAGAAAAAAAAAGAGGAAAAGATGGAAAAGAAGGCGGGGATGCAGCAGCAGTAAAGTGCGCGGCAAACAAAAGCCAACGCAAAGCTTTGCGCATCTTTGGGTTTGGGCGCGCATATTATTAACCCAAGATTTCAACTTTGCGACAATTGAAAGTTTCAATTTTGTGGAATATCTGCTCTCCGAAAGATTGACATTGCTATATTCTGGGAATACATTGTACCTTCATTGATTGGCAGAGGATAAAGGTATGATTTATTGGGCCTTGTTCTTTGATTTAAATTTGAACTTACTCGATTCAGGTCAAACATGAGTCCTTTAATTTTGTTGATGACAATGTCATTATTGTGATGATTATGATAAATATCAGGGGGAAACAATGATGGTGAAGATGGGCGTGATGATGGTATAAATAATTATGACGGTGATGATGATGATGATGGTGATGAAGATGATGATGACGGTGGTGGTGGTTCTAAGTTATTGTTCTTTTGATGACGGTGATGTTTTTATTATTATAAAGGTATGGTTTTACAAGCGATGAATCTTGCCACGAGAACAGTGAAATTCCGTTTAGAATATACGGTTAATCCTCTCCCGTTCAGACTTCAGACAGCTAGTCGACATCAAAAGTAGGACAAGAAAAAAATAATTGGAAAAAACATATTCCTTCCATCTCCTCTTTCAGATTTCTAGCACTAAGATGTTTCTAAGCTCACGATTTCTTCGCTCCGTCCGCTACCAACCCAATTCAACCACGGCATCGCTCCTGATCAACGCGCTCATGAAGCCGGTCTGCCTTGGTCGATTTCGACCGATGATCCTGCTTTTCAACCGGCCGAACATCCCCTCCATACTCGGCATAGGCAGCACTCGACAGAGTCACAGCCTTGGGACGGGGGGCAGGCGGCATTCATCTTCGGCAGCAGGGGGGAAGAAGGGAGGAGGAATCCAGAAAGGGGGAAGCGGGGGCAATAATGACCAGTTTGGTAAAGGCGATGCGGGGAACGGGAGAGGTGGCGATGGGAAGTCGGTCAGCGGAGAATCAAAGGATGGCAGTTACCAGACCGTCAGCCCAGCTACAATTCAGGTAGAAACATATCAATTCCATGTCTTTTCAGTGATGGGATTTCTGACAACTTCTAGTGTGCAAACAGGGGCACCATCAGATCACTTTTTCCCATGGAGGGGGGGGGGGGGGGTAGGATGTCAGACTAAATCTGCAGACAATAAAGTTACAGATTTCAGGAACAGAAATCTTTTAATTTATTTATTTATTTATTTATTTCTAATCTTTTGACAGGGTAGCCCATTCACCAATAAGTAGTGGTCTTCCATGGGGCCCTGAATAAACATGAACATATTTACATCGTTTATAACGTTTATACAAAAAATAATACTCATTTGCAAAATAAACATATATCATTAACCTAGTAAACAGTAATGTCAGATAGGAAAATATTGATTAAGTCGCAATTATGTGAATAAGTCATGTTAATATTACAGAACATGCACGTAGTGTATGTTCGGAATGAATGTTTAATGCTGGAATGAATGTCACATCAGCCCTCATCTCGTTTTGTGACATCCATTCTATGTTGTGTTTACATTTTTGTTTAAAGAATTCAATATAATTATGCTTTTCTACCTCCCTTTGATCAGTCCATTGACTATTGGATAACTCTGGTATTGGTATTCTACCTCGGTATTCGGCCTTTCATCCTTATACCCTTTTACATCTGCCTCTCATGATACTTTTCATTAACCTGCCCAAATTTTCCTCACAGATTCTGCAATTATAGGAAAGTAATCCTAGCCTTCTGTAAAGGGCTCTTCCTTGGGTATCATGAAAATTAAGAGCCGACAAGAAAATCTCCTAAATCAGCCCTGCAAAGAGCGTCATTTGAGTTCCATTTGCATTCAAGTTTCTTTGAAAATCCCAACAGGTATACTCTGATCCAACCCTGGCCAGGACAGTGCGTGAACTTTCGGTTGTCCTCCAGAGGCTCCGCAACCAACTCAAGAACCTCAAAGAGGACGTTGAAGACACTGCCTTTGAGCTCCTGAAGCAGGGCCAGAATCAGGCCACTTTGGACAAGGTGTTCAAGGAAGCCTGCACGCTGTCTTCAGAGAGCTCAAAGGCAGTCAAGGAACAGACACGGGTCCAGACCGTCATGGAAAAGAACCTCGAGTTCTTCTCTAGAATGTCTGCAAGCCATGACAACCAGATCCGAGATTCTATCCTGCGGTTAAACGAGTGCGACCGCCGCCTGGAGGTGGCTCTCTCCAAGCTGGACTATGTCAGTTCTTCCCTGCGGCGTGTTAAGAGGTTGGTGACGGAGGACGTCAAATGGGACCTTCAGGAACTCAGGTTGGCCATCAAGATTGCCAGGAATGAGACTAGGAATATCAAAAATGCTCTGGTACGTGAAGGAATCGTTGTGCATTCCTCTCACCCCATTCAAAGCAGTAAAAGTGAAACTTTGAAGAGTAATGAAGTCGCACTGATTAAACAAGAATGATGAAAATTCATAGCCGATGGAAATCATAAAATTCATACAATAAAAGTTAAGAATTTATTGTTTGATTCATCTTTAGTTTTAAAAAATGTTTAAATTGTGAAACTTGAAAATGTTTTGAACACTTTCAGATGTGTCATTTTGTCATCAGACGACTGATGGCATAATATATTTATTGAGTAGACATGAAATGTAATAGAAAATAAGTATTTCTATAGGGGAAATTCTTGAGCACATGAATTATACATTTTGTGTCTGAGAAGCAGTGAATAGTCTGGAATCAAAAGTAAAATTGAGTTTGTTTTCAAGAATCATGATATACTTACTAGCAGTGCTGTTAATAGTACAATATTTATCTCACATTGGATAAATGCAAGGAAGATTAAACATTGTAAATTTTTTCCTGAATGAGGTGGTCCCAAATACTACCAGAATAATTTTTTTTGAGCGTTGTAAGTCTTCTGATCGGAAGTTAAGCCCCCATGGGATAGAAATCAGGGGCAGTACTCGGTTTTTAACATATTTGTATGTTGGGCTTTATTACAAATCATCAAAATATTTACACATTTTTTCAAAAGCTTGACCACAAAAAGGCAGTCACACTTATGATTGACGTAGATTTGGTCAGTTTGATACAAGATAACATCGTCTATCTTGAAGCCAGAAGAGCGAAAACAAACACAGAGTGAATGCCATTATGGCTCCTAACTCCACTGCTAATGTAATTCTTTGACACAAGTCTGACTAATTTAAGCTTTCTTCTGTGTTCATGTTTATAAATGGATATTTCCCCAATTATCAAAATTTCATATACAATGCTCAGGAGTATGATTTGAAACACATATCATATCTACCTCAGAAGCTATGCTTCAGAATTCAGCATTAATTGAACGGTTCCCTAGACTGAACTGAACACTTTCACAACAAAAAAATACACCAGTAATACATGTACAAGTGATATGCAAATGTGACTTCTTCTTGATTGACATCCTACAAAGTCGCTTTAAATTTAGATCAGACAAAGACCCGGTCGGCTGCTAGCTTCGTTGAAGTCAGACTAGTCAACTTGTAGCTGATTAGATCTGTCCTCATTAAGGCCCAACATATCCAACACAAATCCAATTTTGACAGGGCCTTGTACACATTTTCATCTTTACAACTTCAATAAAGTTTGAGGCTATGAACATGTGACCGACAATAGCTGCAATGATACAGAAATACAGGTACTGTCTGATATTGTTCACTTTTGGATATAGACAGTTTCTGATAAGTCATTAAGGACAAGATTATTTCAAGGGTTAAATAGATCTGGGTCTTGTTTCACGAAACTTGATATCAATAACAAGTTACAAGCTACTGTTATAAGCTACTGAAATCATGGCATCTGATTGGCTGAGAGCAAACTGTTCATAGAAATTGAGCAGTTGTTATAGATAACAAGGGTCCTGATTCATAAAACCTTTATCAATAACAAGGGTCACTTTTCTATCACAGTTTATTACAGCCAATCAAATGCAAGAACTTCAGAAGCTTATGGCAGTTGTTGTGACTTGTTATTGATAACAAGTTTTATAAAACAGTGCTCAGAAACAGGTCCCGGCATGTAAGTACAATAAGAATAAAATAGAATTTCTGTCATCAGAACAGATTATACAATTTAAATATTGGATGAGAGAATTACCAGGTTACATGCAATTACTCTCAATAGCTCAATGCATTTCACTTTTAAGGATTGTTGAACAGTAGAACTGTTATGTCATTGTTAAGACCTGAATCGCTGTTATGTTAATAAACGTAGAATGATTTGATTAAAAACAGTTGTTTCTTGCTTTATTCCTTTAATTGCTAGTTTTAGCTTTTGGTTTTATCTTACACATTTCGTTCCTGTTTTTCTCTGATAGTAGACATCAGAATGCTCAAGTGTGTCTTCATTCTTTCAATTTTTTATTAACATAATTATCTCTAAAGTTTGGTTGGGATTTGACTGAAGTACTTTCCCTAAGTTATGAATAATCCTGTATAAAGGACACAGCCAACAGAAAATTTGGATACAGTTTTTGCCAAATTTAATTGACCTCACCCCAAACCTAGAATCTTAACTGAAAAGTTGCCAAATCTAGGTATCTGAAGTAAAATATTAATCCTTGTGGAAGTAAATAAATAAATATAGTTACTCAAGTCATGCTGGCTGTATACACCCAATATTTGCCAAGTTTTACCAGAAATTCATTCATGAAACTTCTACAGCTACCCTAACACTAATTGTAAGCAAAAATAGCGAGAAAGATAAGCATTGGAAGAATGTGTATGTTCATATTCACAAGAAATATCACCTTGTTATGGATCACCAAAAAGCTGGAAGAAAATTGTCAATACTAAAACTTGCATCAAGCAAGGATTTTTTCTTTAGTAAGACAAAATAAATGCAAATAAAATCTTTTCCCAAGAGAATCTTTACAGAGTAGATCTCCACCCAAAGTGACATCGTAATAATAATAATAATAATATAGGATTCTTATATAGCGCACGTATCCACCATGCAAGGTGCTCAAGGCATTCAAGGAATTCCTTCCTACTGGTACCCCTTTAACACCTGGGTGGAGAGTGGCAAGGGTAGATTAATGTCTTGCCAAAGGACATTAGTGCTGTGTTCTTCTCCAGTGTAAGGTCATTGTGCAGGTTCAGTGACAAGCACCTGTTCAACATGGACTGCAAGACCATAAGTAAACAGACCTCCAGAGTTTGCAGCTTCTTGATATAAACACGCAAAAGGTGACTTGGCTTGTTGGATGCCATTCAACTATGGAGTGACACACATCCACAGAACCCAGCTCAAATAATCTTAGACCCCGGAGTTAAATTAAATGTCGATGAGAACGCCTCGGGCAGCCAACTCGTAGTCCTTTTCATGCTCCACTATAAATAGAATGTCTGATATAGTCTGTTCCACGGCCGACAGGTAGGCCAGATCGCTGATTGGTCTGTAGTCTTGGAGCGATATTGGCGGGTACTTGAAGTCTGGCCCAAAGTTAACAGTGACCTGAAAAAAGATGATTAACAAAAAAAAAATTATCATGCAGAAAATTCAACTGCTGAATTTATCTCTTCATTCGAAAATAAACTTTAAAAAAGCACCCTATTTAGATCATGAATGTGAATGAGTTTCACACTTTTAGCAAACAATAACAAATAGTACTTGATGAAAGTACATTACACAAATATGGGTATAAACTAAATCTGACATATTTTCAATCCCAGATCATTCTCTCCTTTCGACTAAAATCTAGCGCCAGTTAAATAAGGAATGTGATAATTCACTTAACTAATTCGCTAACATATGCTATGTGACGAGAACTGTATTCTGTACTGCTCTGTTTTTACAAACCTATAGGTAGATACTTGGTTGAAATTCATTGAGAAAATCTCACATTATTATGAAGGACAATTAACATACTTTTGCTAACATAAAAGATATAATTTTCAGAATATTATTCAGGTTGGTATAGAGTACCAAAGTGCTATTCCGCCATATTCGCTTGTCGTCCACATTACTGGTTCTAAACAAAACTAGATGGACCTTCGACCGCGCGCAGTCGAAAATGTTGCCTCTGCCATGGAGCAATTTTACAAAACAAAACAAAAGCGAGCTATTTTTGCATACATAATGAGCCCTGTGACCTTTGACCTCATTACCCCCAAAATCTAATCAGTTCATTGGCTCTGCAAGATACATACATGATCTAAGTTAGGCGGGAATCCATCAATGGGTTCTTGAGATAAGGCGATCACGAGCTATTTTTGCATACATAAAGAGTCCTGTGACCTTTGACCTTGGATCTTCGCGACCCCAAAATCTGATCAGTTCATCGGCTCTGCAAGATACATACATGACCCAAGTTTGGCAAGATACATACATGACCCAAGTTTGGCAAGATACCATCAATGGGTTCTTCTGATAACGTGATCACAAGCTATTTTTGAATACATAAAGAGTCCTGTGACCTTTGACCTTGGATCTCGCAACCCCAAAATATAATCAGTTCATCGGCTCTGCAAGATACATACATGACCCAAGTTTGGCGGGAATCCATCAATTGGTTCTTGAGATAACGCGATCGTGGACAGACGGACAATCTGAAAACATAATGCCTCCGGCTACTTAGTAGCGGAGGCATAAAAACCTGTGCATGAGGTTCAACGCAAAAACATTCAAGCAAGGGGCTAGAGCAGGGCAAATTCATTGTTTGGGGCAGGTGTGATCACCACACCATTGTTTAGCACAATTATATTTGGAACTAGCAACTTTGACAACTTGGCCAGTATGACGTCATGCTTCCATACTCTATGGCAAACCAGCTGAACTTACGATGCTCTGTTTATAAAGAGAGACTGCTGGGTGGTATGCCCCTTCATACACATCCTCATAGGCAACTCCCTGGCTCTGGCCATTCTTGAAGAAGATAATCTAGAAAAATAAATACACAAATATTGCTTTATTTCCAAGCAAATATACATAACTCCAACAACAAAAACAATATGTGGGACAATGGATAACAGTCACACATTGGTGATGATGGGAGCATCCCCGTTCAAAATAAAATGTTGCCTAAAACTAAGAAAGAAAATTTGTTTTTCTACTACCTTTAACTTTGAAATATATTTTTTAAATCTTTTGTTTCAAATCCTTACCCTAAAAATATGTTTTTTTTATCTATTTTCTCTTTCATCTATCAGAAAATTATGGAGGAAATAGTCTAGCTTTTGTGAAAAAAGATGTTGCCATCACATAGAATTGGGCCCTGTCTTACTTCAAAACGAGCTGTGACTGATCAAGAAATGATTGAAAGTCTTCCAGTCAACAGCAAATTTACAAATCATAACTCTTTAGTACATACTCATGCTTTGTATTCCTTGGTCAGAGTCGATGAATACAAATTTGCAACGATCATCTTTATTGTATTCAATATTTCCTTGTTTTATACCTTTGTGCCTGTCGTAGGAACGAGAGCCTTTTCTGCTTCTGATGTCTGGTCTTTCTCCTCAAAATACAGATGACTCTTAAATTTAATCAGGGCCTGAAACAAAAGAATAGCAAAGGAAATAGAGAATTATCTATTACTGTAAAATCAGAAACTTTCATGTGCAACGATGTTCGCAAAGTTTGAGAGGGGTCCAGATTCATAACAGTTTCATGCTGCAAACTTAACAAATCACAATTGACACAACTGACCTTCTAAAGGCCTACAAGACGCACAACTGACCTTCTGAAAAGTAGTCAAAAGGCCTATAAGACGCACATGTGACCTTCTGAAAAGTAGTCAAAAGGCCTATAAGACGCACATGTGACCTTCTGAAAAGTAGTCAAAAGGCCTATAAGACGCACAACTGACCTTCTGAAAAGTAGTCAAAAGGCCTATAAGACGCACATGTGACCTTCTGAAAAGTAGTCAAAAGGCCTATAAGACGCACATGTGACCTTCTGAAAAGTAGTCAAAAGGCCTATAAGACGCACAACTGACCTTCTGAAAAGTAGTCAAAAGGCCTATAAGACGCACATGTGACCTTCTGAAAAGAAGTCAAAAGGCCTATAAGACGCACATGTGACCTTCTGAAAAGTAGTCAAAAGGCCTATAAGACGCACATGTGACCTTCTGAAAAGTAGTCAAAAGGCCTATAAGACGCACATGTGACCTTCTGAAAAGTAGTCAAAAGGCCTATAAGACGCACATGTGACCTTCTGAAAAGTAGTCAAAAGGCCTATAAGACGCACAACTGACCTTCTGAAAAGTAGTCAAAAGGCCTATAAGACGCACATGTGACCTTCTGAAAAGAAGTCAAAAGGCCTATAAGACGCACATGTGACCTTCTGAAAAGTAGTCAAAAGGCCTATAAGACGCACATGTGACCTTCTGAAAAGTAGTCAAAAGGCCTATAAGACGCACAACTGACCTTCTGAAAAGAAGTCAAAAGGCCTATAAGGCGCACATGTGACCTTCTGAAAAGTAGTCAAAAGGCCTATAAGACGCACATGTGACCTTCTGAAAAGTAGTCAAAAGGCCTATAAGACGCACATGTGACCTTCTGAATAGTAGTCAAAAGGCCTATAAGACGCACATGTGACCTTCTGAAAAGTAGTCAAAAGGCCTATAAGACGCACAACTGACCTTCTGAAAAGAAGTCAAAAGGCCTATAAGGCGCACATGTGACCTTCTGAAAAGTAGTCAAAAGGCCTATAAGACGCACAACTGACCTTCTGAAAAGAAGTCAAAAGGCCTATAAGGCGCACATGTGACCTTCTGAAAAGTAGTCAAAAGGCCTATAAGACGCACATGTGACCTTCTGAATAGTAGTCAAAAGGCCTATAAGACGCACATGTGACCTTCTGAATAGTAGTCAAAAGGCCTATAAGACGCACATGTGACCTTCTGAATAGTAGTCAAAAGGCCTATAAGACGCACATGTGACCTTCTGAAAAGTAGTCAAAAGGCCTATAAGATGCACATGTGACCTTCTGAATAGTAGTCAAAAGGCCTATAAGATGCACATGTGACTTTTGACTCTGCACTATCATTCTCAGATCATGTGGCAGATGTAGCAAGAAGAGCCAACATCAAGTTGGGTATCATTTAACTGGGCTATTTCAGAGCAGGTTTTTACTAGGGCTGCGACGTGTAGTCGAATGCTCGAGTACCCGCACGGTTGACAACCGAATATTCGGCCGCAAAAAAAAAAAAAAAAAAAAAAAAAATCTGTCCAGGCTGACGCTTACCCCTGCCTGTGTAAAAATGTTTCCCAACTCGAGCACTGTCAAACTCACCACTCAGAAACTGGGACCAAATGTCTGGATTTTCTGTTTAGACTTGTAGGAAAATGGATTATTCTGCCATCTTTGGTTTTTAAAACAGCATTGTTTACTGATATTATTATTATTAAATCGGCGCCTTCAACTGCAACTCGAAGTAAAATTGCATGCGTTTTCGGCTACAGAACTGGGATACTGCTCCAAAGGTATGGTGGTGGCAAAAAAAAAAAAAATTCAAAAAAATTCAAAAAAATTATAAAAAAACATGGCGTCCGAATATATTCAAGTATTCGCTTGTAAGCCTGGGAGTGTACTCGGGAACCTCAGTTGTGCACAGCCTTAGCTTTTACTGTGGGGGAGGGAGGGGGGTCAATTTGACCCCCCCCCCCCCCCTAAGATCTCAGCCGTTTCACTGTCGATCGCCGCAAAAATTGCCGCAAAATATGGTAATTTATGCAAATAAGGTCATAAAATTCACATTTTTGCCCATAGTTCATACATTATTCATATTGAAGCATTCTTTTTCACTACTTATATTTGTTAGGACCATTTGGAATAATAATACAACACAAAACATTTGAAGAGCCAGGTTATTCCTTATGTTATCTCTTGTTTTGATAATTTCTTATGTATTTCATTGTTTTTTTAACTTATGTATTTTATTAGGTGGTCTGTTGTCAACAGACCACCTATTGATTTCGTCAGAATTTTCTTTCTTTATTATTTATTATTTATTTTTATTTATTTCTCCACTTTTTTGTGCAACCGATTTCTCAATATCCATCCACCCAATTTTTCTCAATTTTGACACAGTTATAGGTAATCATCATGATACGTGACAGGAACATTTTCAAGGTCAACAAATTATCGTGACGTCATCCTGACGCCATTTTGTGAAATCACATTATCCATCATATCTTCATGATGCGTACTCAAAGTTCATTCAAATTCATATCACATATACTTCAGGTCAAGGGTCAACAGGTCATGTCATCAAAGGTCACATAAAGGTCATGACGCGCGCGTATGTGCGCGTCAAAATTTAAAATTGCTCAAAATCACTTAACTATTAAACGAGAGTACGAATCAGGTCATTTTAAGCATTTCAAAATTTTCCGTCCGTTCGTGTCCCCTCGCGCGGTGTGCGCGCTCACAGCGCGCGGAAAAGGTCAAATTAAAAATGTTTACATGATTTGGATTCCTCTTAACGTAATTGACAATTAACATTAATTTCAGTCACTCTTCATATTTCATAAGGCCGTGAGCGTGCGTCAAAGTTCAAAATCCGCGCGTGCTGCTATAGGCAATATAATGCAAATTTCATCAAAAACATGCTATTTTAAAAATCGAAATAGCTCTTCAGATAGTCCATCGACCCCCAATTTTTATATCATGGTTGGAAAAAGCATGAGTTGTAGATATGATTTCATACCACCCTGACTCGTACAAAGTGAAACAAAGTCATCATATTGGCATCTAAACTCAAACAAATGTATTTGATTGATGACGTCATTTTTGTCTTTGTTTAATTGAGATTATCTCACTTATCGGTGATCGATTTTCTCCCAGAATTTAATATGTTGTAGCTGAGATAATTCTCTATCAAAAATATGCCATTCATTTTTCATTTCGATGACGTCATCATAGTTAAATATTCCATTAAAGGCGACAATGCATAATTTGTCATATTTGCGTGTTATGTCTATGGGAGGTCACTTTTTTCAAAACATGAATCTGCATGACAAGGTGTTTTGACCAGTATCTAGGTTGTTATTCAACTGTTTTCTCCCAAATTTTAGTATGTTGTAGCTGAGACTATTTGCTATCTAAATATTTCCTTATTTTTTCAATCAGATGTCAGGATCATGCTTATGCTCATCATCATCATTAACATTATCGTTTTTATCATCATATAACATTATCATTATCATCATCATCATCACCTTTACTATCATGATCATCATCATGGTCATCATGATCATCATTGTTTACATGTCTATATAACTTCTCCCATTCTCAATTCTATCAAAAGACTTAGACAGACCACCTTATTCGTCTTCGTGACGAATTAAATTTCTAGTTGTTTTTGTTGTTTTATTTCATTTATAACTACAATTCACTATTTTGACCCCAAAACAAACACCTCAACTTTAAACAAGACAAAATAACCAATGATTTATCTCTTTTTAAGAAAAATGACATTTACATATGTTTTGTACACAAATCACAAAAATGAGCGATTTTCGGGCTGGCATGCGTAGACAAAAGGTCACATGACTTTGTAACTATACATCCGATTTTTGAAAAAATTGTTTTAAAAGATGCGTAAGACTCAAAAGAAAAAAGTCAGGAAAGGAAAATGTTATATCTGCCACGGTTTCGGAGAAGTCGCGAAATTTCTACAGGGGGGGGGGGGGTCAAATTGACCCCCCCCCCCATTTAACGTAGGGTTAAGGAGTACCATATGGATTACAATGTAAGAAATATGAAAAAGGTACACAAACCCTAGCTATGTGGAAACGATGAGTCTTTGGTGTTTTTTTTTAAGGTGACAGATTTTCGATTCTTCAAATTGAGTATGGTATATTATTCCAGATTTTAGAAGCAGTTACACTAAATCATTTATCGGCAGAGGAAAAAGTTGATATCGGGATTACGAGTCTAAAAATGTCCTTCATAGAATGAAGATTATGGGTGGGTATTAAAGTAAGGAACAATGATGTCAGTAAGGGGGTAGTATTGTTGAGCAATTGAGGGTTTATAAGACCAACAGGTCTCATGGGCTGTCCCCAATTAGAACCTAAAACTTCAATTTCTGATGTAAACAGTTGTTCCCCTGACACTACGCCTGGCTCCACTGACCACCTCCATATAGAGACTGAAGTATGGTGTTGTGTTATGTGGGGAGGTTACACAATGCAGTTTGTGTGTGATTGCCATCTCATCGCGCTCTGTAGCTTCACAAAACAAGACAGATTAGCTAAAAGTAAGTCATCACATTTTGATGCTTTACATTGATTATCAATGTTATTTTAATAGTACATGTATATGAAATTAGATCTATTGTCTTTCTAATTATTGTTTTCTAAATCAAACTGATAAAGATAAAGAAAAATCTAATCCAATCAAAAATATATTGGATATAGCGCCTTTTCCTTGCGGTTACAAAGCGCTGCACACACACTGCTCTACAATGTTTTGGGAGAAAAAAACCAGGGACAAACTATTCCCCAGTATATCCCTTCATTGTGCAGGTGACAAGGGTTACCGCCTGTGTATAGGGAAGGGTGACAACAGAATTCATCATACCAGGGCCCCGTTGCATAAAACTTACCATTGATAGTAACTTTGCCATCAATGGCAACTACCATGGAAACCTTGATTTCGATTGGCTGTTGAGCCCTGTTACCATGGTAGTTGCCACTGATGGAAAAGTTACCATCAATGGTAAGTTTTATGCAACAGAGCCCAGATGGTTATTTCTGTCTATCCTTAACTTACTCTGTCCTTGTAGGTCGGAGGGATGATTGGATCCTTCTCTGTCTTCTCTGGAAGCTGAATGAAGAATCCTAACGTGTCGCCCTCTCCGTAGCCTTCACTGTAGCGCTTCCCCCGGCTCTCGTGGAACTTGGTCCCCTTACGGCTCCTCCAGGAATAGGAGAACTTGTCGTAGCCGAGAGGAGCTTGCAAGTTACCTAATGAATGAATACAGAAGTATTTCAAATGCTGAGGTATAGTATCTCAAGTGCTTTGAAGTAGTTTCAGTATAAGCTTAGTGAATTGTAGGGGCACGAACAAGGGAGTGTTTCACAAAGACTTAGATCGACTGAAGTTGGACTTAACTATGGCAGGCCGTTCATGCCACTGTTTGCTCTCAACATGCAGAGATGCCAACCCTATAGGAGGGCTGTCAGTAACATTTACCAAATTTGTCCGTAACGAATGGGGGTCTTTCCGGAACGCAAGACACTGCAGCATAATTTTCGCGCGAAACGTCAAACACCCAATCACTCTTACTGCATTTCGAACCTACCATTTTTAAGTCCAAAATAAAGATGTGCGTGAAAACGTTTTTAAAAATCGGTTTGCAGTCAAAGGATCTCCTCCTCGGGTACTCGCTCTTTTGAATGAATCCATGATAATATTCAGGAAGAAAACACCTCGTTCAAGCGTCGATCGAACCACAAATTCGAATCCACAGTCAAATGGCAGAACTCGTATTCTACACATGCACACGTACACTCACCACTACCACAGACACACCAGCCCAGGCCGCTAGGCCCGGCGTTCATGAACAACAACACACCGTATACCACACTTGCAATGCGCCCGCTGAATCACCGAAGTCTTCGCTACTATACTTTGAATGGGTATTGCGGGCGCCGCGCGCACGATCATCCACCACCATGCTCCTCCCAAAACGTACGACCACACGTAGCAGTAATGACGGCGGCCGTGTTGTTTCACAATTAAACAAGATGGCGGCGGACGGACCATGTGCGCGAAAGTGCCTATCCAGTGTAGTCAAATTCAGTGAACTTATGAGTAAATGCGTGCGACATGCAGCACAGTGTACGGAGACTATGTGATAAGGCGGCATTCGCTATAATGTACTTTTATTTATCGTTTCCCCGTAACCTTTTGATTGTTTACCGTAACGCCGTAACAAGAGCATTAAAACCGTAACAAATACGGCGAAACCGTAACGGTTGGCATCTCTGCACCATGTACGGTCGTAGCCGAGAGGAGCTTGCAAGTTACCTATTGAATGAATACAGAAGTGTTTCAAATGCTGAGGTATCATATCTGGGGGGTGTTTCCCAAAGACTAAGATCGACTGAAGTTGGACTTGGAATGGCAGGCCATTCATGCCACTGGTTGCTCTCACCGTTGCCTTGGTCTCTCAAGGACCTCACAAATCTACAGAATTGACATTTTTTGATACTTTATTATTGAAGGAATTTTTTTATCTAAAGATCATAATTTCTAATTTCTTTTACCTCTGGTTGGTTCAAGACTTTTTAAGGGCATAAATCGCCTGCCATAGTTCAAGTCCAACTTAAGTTGATCTTAGTCTTTGTGAAACACCCCCCTGAAGTGCCTTGGAGTAGTTTCACTAAGGTAGCTTGTTGAAATGTAGTGGCACGAACAGACGCGTCCGGAACGCAAAATGCTTAATTGTTGAAAATCACAATTTTATCAAACAGAGGTAGAATCACATGGTTAGGATATGAAGGGGGTAAATGCATATACTATTTCAATGAGGTTTCATTTTAGCTAAATGTTCATTAAGATATATCAAAATAGAACTTTTAATTAACAAATATCACTGACTTTTATGCATTTTGCTAAAGCCGGGGTTATAATTGTGGAGCGACAGGAGTGTCACGTCTGACAGACACAAGCGTTACACAAGAACCCACTATCATTATCACTATTACTATGAGGAGGCGCGGTGGCTCAGTGGTAGAGAAGTGGTCTCGTAACCTGGAGGTCCTGGGTTCAAAACCAAGTCAATGCTACAAGGTATGCCTTTGGTAAGGCATTAATCCTCATTACCAAGTCCCTCAGAGAGGACTTGAGGCCGTCGGTCCCCTGGTTGTTTACTTATAAGCATTTACATGCTTTCTTAGCAGTCTTAGCACCTAGTGGTTGAGACCATCCTAACCTTGTAGCACTGCCCTCTGGCATCTGATCTATCATGACCTCAAAGTACCATGACCCCCTGCTGATACCATGGGTTGCCCTTGTCATACAGTATGTTATTAACTTGAAAATCATCACAAGAGCTTACCTAGTGGTTGAGACCATCCTAACCTTGTAGCACTGCCCTCTGGCATCTGATCTATCGTGACCTCAAAGTACCATGACCCCCTGCTGATACCATGGGTTGCCCTTGTCATACAGTAACCTCTGTCCCCGGTCACCAAGAGACGATCCTCAGAAATCTTCAGCTGTGGGGCTTAAGAACAGAAACAAAAAGTCTGCAAATTATCAGCACTGAAAGGGATGTGTTTGGTGGTAGTGATATTTTGTGAATCTGAGTCACTGGCAAAATTTGTGAACATTTAGTGCACACGATTAAAGATAAACTTGAGTTCTGGTAAAAAAAGAAAATGAATTCTCACAGAATCTAACGAAACTTACACTGAATGTTCAAGATCACAAATAAATGTCATGTGCGAAACAATTTTGGAAGAAAATGTATACTGGCTGAGTAATGAGCATAGAAAGATAAGGAAATCAGGGTAGTACTAGCCCCGACACCATGTGTGATGTCCCATATACATCTTTCTGTGTAAGTGATTGTAACTTTACCAAGACTCTGCCAAATTTATGATGATTTTGATGACTCCAGAACCTTGCATTACACACCATTACTTACATGCTATATGATCAACTTTTCTGATCCATTCCACACCTTTTCTTTCACAATGCAATCGCATTACCAGTACTCAAGTTTATCTTTAATGGTAAGTTCTATAATCAATTATTAATTTACAATCTCTCATCTCTTAAGTACACAGTTGGTTCCAACAAATTTTATCAATTGCAATTCTTTGCGAGATGATGCCGTGGTTTTAAAGTAGTCTTAAGTTGTACTCTCTATGGTCTTACCCCTATCATGAAGAGCTAAGAGCACATCCTTGCTGAGAGCCATCCTGTAAAGATGGGCTGGGATGGGCTTGCCTATCCATTGGTCCTCCTCAAAGGCACTACTAGGGGCATGGGGGTCAGACTCTGTCAGGACATACCGGTAACCATCCTTGTTGAACGGGTGCTCTAATGGGTAGCCGTGGGCAGGCAGCTTTTGAGATGCAGGTAATTCACTGAAAACGGAGTGGATATGAAATTCAGACATTAAAAGCAACTGAATACTTTTGATATATCATTATGCATTTTGTTTACTCAATTCCTTTTGGCTGTCGATTATTACTATTACAATTTGGTTTCAATTTGTTTTAGCTTTTAAAGTACCAACATAAATTAGTGTCTGACAGTGAAGTCTAGAAAATAAACGGGTTTCTTTGCATAATTTGAATATTAGGACACTGATAACGTTTAATTTTCACAGATAGGACATACATGACATATTCATAGCTCCTGCAAAGGTCTACAGAATTTGATGTTGGCTGCAAATGGGACATAGTACCTTTAAGGCCCCTCTAAAGTGTTGGGAGTCCCAAATTCGCCAAAATGTTGATGGCAAAATTTCACTTAAATTGTTTCATAATGTAAAAGAGGATGTCATTTAAGACACAATTCTGCAAAGATTCTCCCCAAAAAATGTGTTTGAAGACAAATATTGATAAAAGAATACATAATTTGGGTTTTCTGTTGTACGCAGAAAATCTAAATTTTGTATTCTTTCATCAATATTCGACATCAAACACATTTGTTTTGAAAATCCTAGGTAGAAATGTGTCTTAAATGACATCCTCTTTCACATTATGATACAATTTAAATGAAATTTTGCCATCAAATTTTTTGGGCTCTCAACACTTTAGAGGGGCTTTAAAGGGAGATGGTAGACAGTTTCCATGTACAGTAGGTCATAATTAACTGACACCAGACTTGCTGGAAAATACTATTAATGAGTGTACAAGTCTACACAGTAAACCCACGGTCCCATCAAGAAATATTCCCTAGTCTCTCAGAGAGACTCTTTGGGTGAGGGAAATTTAAGAAAATGACCTTTACATATGGAGTTATTATTGAGAAATGCAGAGTATTACATAAGGCCTGTTGGTCATAAAACTGAAGGCTAATCCTGGTGATTAACAACACACACTTTAACAACTGAATGGTGTCAAATTCCCCATGAGAGCCCACAACTACGCGTTTTTAAGCATCGTTCACATATAAAGACATAATTACACACAAACATATCTGAAAGGCACATAATCAGTTGTACCTTCTGGTTCTTTTACTTGACGTCACTCCCTGGTTGCTATCAAATCCTTTCCTCTTAGCGCTCCTGCTTATCCTCTGTGATGATACCAGATTGGAGTTACCTAGAAGCAATGCAAGACAAGAGATGGTGTTCTTAAAGATAAAGTTGAGTTCTGGGGGTTGTTTCACAAAGATCCTAAGTCAAACTTAACCTTAAGTTGGACTTAAAAATTATGGAGAGCCATTTGTAGCCTTGAAATAAAATATATTCAAAAGTGAAAATTCAAGTATTTTAATATTTTATAAATTCCACATTAAGAACATGAAATCTCCTTGATAATAGAAAATATGAATGATTTGAATCGACATTTTGCGCCTTTTAAAATAACTCTTACCAAATATTTTCATAGATGCTAACGGCTTTCCATAATTGTTAAGTCCAACTTAGAGATAAGTTCGACTTATGATCTTTGTGAAACTCGTACCCCCTGGTCATGCGATTGCATTGCGAAAGAAACGGTGTGGAATCAATCAGAAAAAGTTGATCATGTAGCATATAAGAATTGGTGTGTACTACAAGGTTCTGGAATCATCAAAATGATAAGAAATTTGGCCCAATCTTGGTAAAAGTAACAAGCACTGTACACAGAAAGATGTATATGGGATTACACAAAAATGTGGCATGAAAATGAGGTTCTTATTTTTAAACTGTTACTTGTCATATTTAGAATATGAAGGCATTTGAAGAGCCATACTTTTTTCTCTGATGTTCTTCCACACTTGCATAACAACGATGCAAATGCTCACAAATTATTTTTTTCACCTCTCCCCAGAACTCAACCTTCTCTTTAAGACTATGTTTTACAGCGGAACTCCATTAAAACAAACTACTCTGGACCAGGGAAATTACCCTTTTAGCAGGGCTAAGACATAATACAATACAACAAAGTAATACAACAAATTACCTTGTTTTAATAAGTTTGATAAAACAGCCTTCTTTATAATGAGGTGCCACTGTAAATGTGTTTCATGTGATCATGTGAGAGGTATGTTAATCATCACTACAATTCTATATTAATCATGTCATCAATTTATAACTCCATAAAATTGACTAACCCATATAGTTTTTGATATCTAAAAATAAAAAAAATTCATAAGTGCAATCTCAATGTGTTACATATACCATTAAAAGTGCTATTTACTAACATAAAAGGTAACATAGTTTTCAGAAATGGCTGTAGTTAATTCTGACAAGGCAAAAAATCTATTAAAAGAAATTCTTTAATCTTCAGTTATGCAAATTCTTTGTGAAAGAACCTGAGCCATTACTATGGAAATCATCTTCTATTTATTCATTCAGGGGTGATAGTTTTCCCCTCAACCACGACCACATTGAGTATAAAAAAAAGAGGATTCGCTGGGAAAAAATGGCATCTAACAACATTCCCCCCTTTCGAGAAAGAAAAATTGGGACAAAAATAGGACAAAATAAGGAAGAATAGAGAAAATAAGAGGGAAATCGGGAAAATCAGGATAAAATAGGGGGGAAAAAAAATTGGTTTAAATTTTTTTTTTTAAATCGGGAAACCGATTTAAATCGGGTTTTTATCAGGCCTGTTCATTTCAATGGAATAAAATGAAACTCCAAGTCTACCTGCAAAAACTTTTAAAAGAAAGTCAAGCTCGGCTAAAATTGTAAAATTCATTGTGAGATTCCTCATTCCATTCATTCCTATATGAAAGAATATTGTGTTAGCCATGTCTTGTAAAGAGGACTGCTCTTAAAAAGCCCTTACATGTATATTCCAAACATGACTAAAAACTTTGGACCAAATTCTTACGTCATATGTATTTAAGTCCCATATATGCATCTCTGTGTGCGATGATTTTCACTGTATGCACTTTCAAACGCTTACACTAAAATTATATATTTTATACAACATAATGACCATTCCTAATAACTTCTATACAATATCTCACAATGTATTTCAACACCCATCAGGACAATTTTCCCCTGGACAATCGCCCTCCGGAAAATCCCCCAGATTTTTTTTCGGGGAGGGGGAGGGGGGATAATTTTCTGGAGGGTAATTGTGCTCAGGGTGGTTGTCCTCGGGGGTAATATTCAGAGGGCTGATTGTCCCTCTGTTAATTTGCCGGGGGTGATTTGTCCGGGGGGTTAGTGTCCTAGAACCATTTTAACATGATAAGTACTAGACTACATGTAAGTCTATCTCTGCAGTGATTATAAACCCTGGAACTTGAGATAACTCTTTTATATTTGGTCACGTGTTCCACTTTCTCTCTTTTTTTCTCACCATTGAGAGAGCTTGAGAGAGATGAGCTGAGTTTCTGAGAGCTGTCTAGTTTAAGGCTGCTTCCTAACTTGGATTCAGAGTTTGGCGTTATCTTGGAAAGATCCTACAAATAGAATAACAAATAATAAGGATTGTTAGGTTGGAGAATCTCACCCCCCTAACTAAAAACATAAATCATGATAAATGAACAAAACTCAGCACAAAAGAGACAACTGATTACCTCAATTCAGTATATGTTTATTAGCTCCATGAAGACCTCCAAATCACCACAAAAACATGAATATTTAAAGCGTATTTGTATATTCATGATATCATTGTGAAAATACAAAATGCAACAGATAATAAAACCTGTAAAAGCTGAAGTTTTAAATATTACTGCACATCGTAAAACCGAACTACAACCAGATTGTACGAAAACACTGCAATAGACTCAAATACGGAATGTCAAAAATCTAAACTGGATGCCTATGCAAATCTTTAAAGCCCCACTGTACTACATGTACCTACTTGATCCCTCTATATAGAAAACAACGCCTAAGCGGTGCCCGTTGGTCCCCCATGATCCTCTTTTTCTTATGTTGATTGAGAGCTGAGTTGATGCGATAACCACCTGTCAGTGACCACACTAATCCTTCTAATCCCTCCTGGCCAAACTAGTGCAGAGGGGCTTTAAGACACCTCGGCGCATGCACTAACAATATATGCTAACTCTGCACAATTGCAGTTGGTTATGACAATTAATGAAAATTTCTATCAACATAAAGGATGACATAGTTTCACTGACCTGATCAAGTAGGCCGAAGATTGGGAACTCTGCATCGGATGCTTCAGGGTCGTCTGGCTTCTCCTTGCACACAAACACATCATCATCTTTCATCTGGCATATTACAATGAAGGTAAAATGAAAATAAGTACTGGTATTAAAGCAAATTTCAAATGAAAGAAGCCTAAAGCCACAGCATTAGATCGTTAAGTTAACATGACAAATACCTGGGCGGGTATTCAATTCAATATTTATATTATAAAGTATTTGGCTTCTGTAAAATAGTTACCATAGCTTTGACAATGGTGCCATGCCACGTGATGGTGGTGCGTCGAGGCATGGGTGTGAGTTGTTCCCAGTGGGTATCGATGAATGGAATGAGGTCGGTCTCTTTAGAGAACATGGTCTTGGGTGGATCCTGTGTCTTGTGCTGGGCCTGGAGATTGGCTAGGGCACACTGGCAAAGCTCCTTGAAGTCTGTCAATATAAACATAATAATAATAATATTCAGCTGTTATATAGCGCTTAATACATCTCAGATGTCTCTAAGTGCTTCACATATATACTATTACCCGGTCATTGGATTCAGTGCTTGCCCGCACACACTGTGTGCACAATCTCCACTCCCTGGGGAGCATTCCAGCTAGGTGTTACTTGATTTTCAAAAACTGTTTGACCAACAATGATGGTTGCATCCTACCGGGTACCCATTTTTAACACCTGGGTGGAGAGTAGCAAGTGTAGGTTAATATCTTGCCAAAGTATATTAGTGCCGTGTCATGATTCCAACCCTCGATCTTCGCATTTCCAGTCAAGCGCCTTAAACCACTCGACCACGACACTCCTCAAATACAAATGAAAGCAGAAATCTCTTCATAAATTGTATATACAAGGAGTCTAAGCTGAGAAATGATTTCAATGCTGAAGATACCCATAAGAATACAAAGCAATCAAGTGTCATATTTCAAATTCTTTAAATGGATTTTTCTTATTGCTCTACCAAATTTGTTTTCATTGGACTCATACGCAGAGCTGCCAACCTTGTGCGACCAAAAAAAAGGAATCATGATGGAAAAAAAAAAGGAATTTCAAGCAAAAAAAAGGAATTCATTAAAATGAAACTTACAACAAGTGCGAAACACTTCAATGTCCATTCCTTATGCTATTTTTTTCCATACAAGCAGGTTTTTTAATATTTTTTTAAACTTTGGTATTATCAGTACCGGTATTTCATTCTTTTTGATAATTTTTTTCACTTCAAGTATGTATTCAAGTAGGTTTTAAACTTAGTTTTCTATTGAATTTGTGATCAAATCAACATTTTAGGGCAGTTGTTTGATGCGCACATATAATGGTATGTAATTTTTTTTTATTAAAGTAGATATTTATTGATTTTAAAAACTAACTTTGTTTTCATTATTGAAAGTTGAAACTTTGATTCGACAAGGTTATCCAAATTCAATGCTTGGAAACATTTGAAGTGATGATTATTATAAATTACAAAACGCATAAGTACAGCCCCGGCATAGCACCTGCAGAGCTCTCCGAATGCTGCTGAGATGTGTGAGATCACAGTATGGACATGATTTGCACAAGCAGACGATGTCCCATGACATCTCACACATTTTCAGTGCCTGTGTTTTCATCTTCTCTTGAGTTCTTTCTCTTACTTCACTACCGTCAGGCTAAATGTATAATCTATTGCCTCACTCTAAAACCCGCGCATGGTTTTATTTTGATGACGAATGCAGCGATACAAAAATAAAGGAATCTGTCGCTTGCAAACAAAATGAGACGCCATTGTATATTCAGCTGCACACACCGCGCTAAGTTTGGCGTTTCAAGAGGGAACAAATGCTGCCCTTAATATCATTCCGGGGGTTTTTCAATTTGAAAATCTAGTTTCTTTGATTGTTAATTAACCCCTATCCTGTGTATTGACAAGCAAAAGATTTTAGTTATCAGAATCGGGTCATATCCCCTTTGAATGGTTTGACATGCCATTACATTTATATCCACTAAACTCATTATAATTTGACAAATAATAGCTTTGCAATTATGTTCATTCTTAATGGGATGTCGTCTGCTTGGGCAGTATTGGTCCATATTGTGATGTCATTAAAACATCGTTATTTTTCTGGCGAATCTCTCGTATATGGAGGTGGTTGTATTTGTATTCTTATAAATCACCCGATATGTAGTTGACCTAAAACTTGTACGATGGCCATCTGTTAGCTTACCAGTTTCTAGTGATACATTAGTTGACATATTTGTGATTTTCTTTGAATTTCACCTTTAAAAAAAACAAAAAACAAACAGAATTTATGAAGAAAAAAAAAGTAATACCGTAATTTGGAGGAAAAAACGGAATGGTTGGCAGCTCTGCATATGTAATCAACTAAATGAGAAATTTCAAAAAAAGTTTTACAACACGATGTAGGTGGCTGACAAATATATTACTTGTCTACAGGGCACCAAGTATATCACTCATGATCTGTAACAGAATTAGGGATTCTCCAATGAGATCAATCTTAGCCTCTGACGTTGTTCTTGAAATCAGTCTTAGGACTGATTATGTCCCAAAAATCAACTTGTCAGACTTATTTCGTAACAAAATGATAGAATTTGACGTAAAGGAACGACAAGTTCCACTTGGCACCCCATAATCAGCATCCAAGTTTTATATATATATATATTTTTTTTTTCCCCACTTACTTACTTGCAACTTTTCTGCTATATTCTCCAGTTTGATAAAGAATTATAGAAGTTTCACTTGGCGCCCTATACACAGCATCAATGTGTTGTCATGGTTGTTGTTTTCTTGTTGTTTACTTACTTGCAACTTTTCTGCTGAAAGTCTCCAGTTTGCTGACATTACAGTTCTTACAGCAGAATGTGTAGGTGGTCATGTATGGAAGAGTATTTCTGTGGAACATATAAAGAGACAGAAGGAATAATAAACTTAAATACTATCTGACATAAATGATTACTGAGAATAATTTGTGTTTAAAACTGGTAAAACAAAGCCATAGAAAGAGAGAGAGAGAGAGAGAGAGAGAGAGAGAGAAGCCAAAGACCAAAGCTGAAGATCAAAATTAACCCCTTGCTTTACAATGTAATATCATTGTACTGGGGATTAACCCTAAAGCAAATGTTGCTTTGTTTTTCCTTATCCACATACATGTACTAGTTTACCACCTTTACTCATTATTTTCCCATTTTTTGTCAATAATTTGTATTTTCTTGTATGTCTGTTTCTTGCTGTATTCCTTTTTATTTTATGAAAGGTATCCGGTACATAACTTTGTAAAATAAATAAATGAAATGTAGTGAAAAATGAATGAGAAAGGCATTGATAGGAGTCATCACTTGGGTGCAAAGGAAGGAAGACAAATCTTTGGGAGTGATCCGAAATTAAAGTTAAATATTCAGGAAACCCCTGTATATATATATATATATATGTGAGAGTATGACCAACCAACGAAGTGACCTGCTTTGGTAGGTAAAATAATATACAGTGATACAAGATGGTCGCAAGGAAGGCATAATTTATGTGGCATAGTAAACTGAACATGAACTTGAAACTTAGACACACTTACACAACATTAACAGTCGTAATGCATGCCTTGTGGAACCATTTGAAGCACTGGTTGCACTGAAGTTCCACATCTTCATAGTTTCTTCCTTCTCCACTGCAGGCAAAGAACAGTTTGGAGAAAAAAATAAAATATTTTGAAGTTGAAATAAAGAAATACAGCTCAACAGAATTACCAGCATTTCATGAAAAGGACATTTCCTGAGTTTCCTTGATTTGTTTTCCCCTGAAGGAGTTTCAAAATAGCAGGATCATTAAAGGAGGCATTTTACACATACAAAAGCCACCATAGCTCACTATTCATTGTATAACCTGTTTGGGCACATGACACAATTGAAAAGAATGATTTCTTTAATTTGGGCCAATAAAATCCCCTCATGTTTTTCCATTATTTGAGTGATTTTTTTTTTGTTTCTTAAATTCCCTGACATTGAAAAAAAAAAAGGGAACTAATTTTCTCTGCTTTCCCTGAATTCTAAGATAGTTGGGAACTGTTCTCAAACTTAGGAGGCATGCTGGTTCAGTGGTAGAGCAGTAATCTCGTAACCGGGTGGTCTAGGTTTTAAACTAAGTCGATGCGCTAGTGCTAGTGCCATTTGGTAAGGCATTGATCCTCACTACCAAGTCCCTAAGAGATTACTAAAAGCTGTCCGTCCCCAAGTTGCTTACTAACAAACATACACATGCTTTCTTAGCAGTAAGGTAAAACAAACGAACAACCTTAGGGAACTTACAAACAAACTTAAGATAATGAGTTAACAAAACAAATTATATAACAAACATGTTACAACAGACTGGTTATAAAGCTAGAAAATAGAGATTTCTTTTTTCTTTACTTCACTTGATAGAGCAAACACACTTAAACAAGAAACCTGAACACACAACTTTTCTTTTCTTAATTATACATGTTAAATTGTTAACAAGATTTTGGCAATGCTACAGTGGAATAGCTCATATGTTTGTGGTATCTATTATATTGTTAATGTACGCTGTATTACAATTTACATTAAATATATCTTTCATGTACTTTTCCAACAGGACCAGCATCTGTGGCATTTCGCATAATGGAAATGGGGCTTTACAAACACTCAATATCTATTTATTTCTACACAGACGAGTGGAAAAGGGTATCGCATCTTGAGGGTTGATGTTCATACTCATACTCTAAGACCCCCTTTACAGTGAGCAACTAGATGGACCTTCGACCGTGCGCAGTCAAAAATGATGCCTCCGCCATGGACCAATTTTGCAAACCAAAACAGAAGCGAGTTTTTTTTGCATACATAATGAGCCCTGTGACCTTTGACCTCGTTCACCCCAAATTTAATCAGTTCATTAGCTCTGCAAGATAAATACATGACCTAAGTAGGGCAGGAATCCATCAATTAGTTCTTGAGATAACGCAATCACGAGCTATTTTGCATACATAATGACCCCTGTGACCTTTGACCTTGAATCTCATGACCCAAAAATTTAATCAGTTCAGTGGCTCTGCAAGTTATATACATGACTAAAGTTTGGCGGGAATCCATCAATGGGTTCTTGAGATAACGCGATCACAAGCTATTTTTGCATACATAATGAGTCCTGTGACCTTCAGGGGTGATAGTGAGCACTAAAAAAAAAATAGGTTTTTTGTTTTGCCCCCCTGAGTAAAAAAAAAAAAGAAGAGGATTCGCAGGGAAAAAACGGCATCTTACAACATTCCCCTCTTTCGAGTAAGAAAATTGGGAAAATTGGGAAAAAATAGGGCAGAATAGAGAAAATAAGGGGGAAATCGGAAAACCAGGATAAAATCGGGAAGAAAAAAAAAATCTGGTAAAAAAAAAAAAAAAAAAAAAAATCTGGATTTTTTTTTTTTTTTTTTAAATCGGGAAGAAAAAAAAAAAATCGGGAAAAAATCGGGGAAATAAAATAAAATCGGGAAACCGATTTAAATCGGGTTTTTATCAGGCCTGGACCTTTGACCTCGGATCTTGTGACCCCAAAATCTAATCAGTTCATTGACTCTGAAAGATACATACATGACCCAAGTTTGGCGGGAATCCATCAATGGGTTCTTGAGATAAGGCTATCACGAGCTATTTATGCATACATAATGAGCCCTGTGACCTTTGACCTTGGATTTCGCGACCCCAAAATCTATTCAGTTCATTGGCTCTGCAAGATACATACATGACCCAAGTTTGGCGGGAATCCATCAATGGGTTCTTGAGATAACGCGTTCACGAGAACGGGACGTACGTACGGACAGACAACCCGAAAACATAATGCCTCCGGCTACTTTGTAGCGGAGGCATAAAAAGGCCGGGCAGAGCCGCGGCCGCCTAGCACTGTAAACGCTCAAAAGGCCAAATGCGGGGTCAAAAGTGGCTGCGCATTTGGCCCTGCTCTGGAGGTAGTCTCGGCCGCGGCCAGGCCCGGGCTTTTCTCACTGTAAACCAGAGCTGCCAACCTGTAACTTTTAAAAATCATATTATTCAGCTTGAAAAACCATATTTTGCCTATTTTATACGTTTTTCATTATTTTCCCTATAAAATGCTATTGCAACTACATGTATGTTTCTTTGAATAAAAAAATGCGTTCAATGCCAGAAAGTTGTTTCGTGTGAATGAATTTATTACATGTACATGTACAGTGTAGTGCAGAGACACATTCATCATATGACATGGAAAATCAAAACTTGCCAGCTTCTGTCATGTGGAAGGAAGCTGGATAAATTAAAAGTTTCTTGTGTTAATGATGCAAAGAAAAGGTCCTTTCAGCCATCAATATAATCCATGATACCAATATACAGTCAAATCAAATCTGTTCGTTCATGCACTAGAGCCAGAGACAAAACTGGTGGCAGCTTTTTTACACTTTTCCAATAGTTTGTCTGGAAACTTCATGTCATAGCTAGGGACCTTCATTGCTTGATTTCTTAGTTTTTTTGTCAGAATATCTGACAATGTTGTTGTCTTGAGACTGGGCCTGAACTCTGTTGAATTCTTTCTTACAATGCTGAAGAGTCGCTCATCATCAGCATTGCTGTGCGGTAATGCTAGAATTGCATGCATGAGTTTTCCCAAGTTGTCATATTTCAACTTATCAGTCACATGGTCTTTCAAGGTTCTGATCTCTGTCCACACTTCATCTGCTCTCTTGTCTAGGGAGACATTCAAGAGTGGATCAACCTGATACGGCAGGAACTCCAGTTCAACAATGTCCAGTTTGTCCTCCATATGGAATTTATGACAGAAGAAAGATAGAGATGAGAATGAGACATCTAACCTTTTTCCTGGGTTAGTAACTTGTGCATGGCAAATCACCTCATCCTCTAATGGGAATTTTGCAATCACATAGTCTGTTACAGCAACGAAGTACTTTCTGACTGATTCGTAGAATTCCTTCCTTTGGTTGTCAGAGAACTTTGAGTTTGCAAGAAGCTCTTTTACATTCTGTCCCACAACAAGGTCCTTGTCATCTTTCTGGTTCGATTTGTCCTTATAAGCACACTCCTGTAGGGAAGACGCACCAACAACTGCTGCAGGTTTGACAAACCTAATCAATACATCCCGTAGAAAATCCTGGAATTTCTGGCGAAGGAGGTTGATTTGGGGGGCCTCTTCTTGCAACTCGAGGTTAAGTTTGTTAAAAAGAGGTGTTGAGTAGAGCAAAAACATGCAGTATAGTTTGTTGCAATCAGTTAGCTGAGCATGAATTGCTGCTGCTTTCCCCGCTGGTGGTACACTTACTGATGTGGAAGCATTGCTCTTTTTGGTCTCAGACTTTGAAGTATTCCCTCCACTGCTTGCATTCAAAGGACCTTGTGTAGTCTTCCTAGTTGGAGTAAGTTTAGAGACCTTGGATTTTTCTTTCCAAACTGAACTTGCAAATGCACTCTCTCCTCTTGATGGAACTTTCTGGATTCCAGGTGCAACTGCAGGACTCTTCTTGGACCCAGAAAATATCTGACTCTGTTTGTGAACAACTTTGCACTTGCTTTGCAGAACTGAACTGGGCCTTTTCTTTATGGAGCTCTGTCCAGCACTTGGAGCACTTTTTGACTGCCCATCTGCCTTCTCTTGTGATACCTTTTGCTTCTTTGGGTTCCTATCCTCATTGTCTTTCTTCCGTTTACCTCCAAGAAGCTCCTGTTCCTGTGAGCTTTGACCTGCTCTGTCTGCAGAATCATGTGTAGTAACCTTAGCCTTCTGTTTTCTTGGTGGACTAGCTCCTTCAGACTCTGCCTCCAATCTGAAGTATTCTTTGATAGGCACCCACTGCTCAATAAGCCTTCCTAGAGCTCTTTCCATGGACAACCAGCGGGTACATACATGCTTCAGAATTGCATGGTTTTCTGCTCCACACATCTGTTGTACTTCCTTGAAGGCTTTATGTCTCTTGCTCGACTTTTCTAGGTAGTAGAAGATTGGAGTAAGGATATCAACAGGCGAGAATGGTAGCACATTCACTCCCTTTTCAGCAGAGAGGTGCAACAGGTGACATGGGCACCCCAAGATGAAGATGTCTTCATTTTCCTTTTTCACAAACAATGCAACACCACTTAGCCTTCCCATCATTACAGCTGCGTTGTCAGCAGAATATGCAATTACATTCTTCCATGGGATATTGTTCTCCTTTAAAACACCGTCCATGAGAAGAAAAATGTTTTTGCCTGTTGACCGCTCCTTGGTTGTTGCAATTTCTAGGAGACAGCTTACAACTCTACCAATATCAGCATCATAGTATCTGACGATAATGGGATAAAGTTGCTCCTCACAACCCCTGTCACTACTGCCATCCGTTGAGATTGAAAATGGCTCTGTTCTTAACTTGTCAACCAGGTCAGCTGTAATAAAAATGAAACATAATGTAACATTAATACTTGTGAATAATTGCCCAATGGAATAGAGTCTAAATCATTAATTTCGATTTGTAAACTTATTCTCTTGCCTTGGTATCAACGGCATGCTAGCAACACTCAACAGATACTGAGATAGTACATTGGATAATTTTATATTTTTCTACGTTAACCCACACCAATAATTGAAATAAAGAAGCCAATGTGAATGACCATCGACCAACCATCTATCAAATATTAAGGCATAGAAACCAAAAACCAACGACGGTCAACCAAACATTAAATAAAAGAGGCCAAAGACCATCAAAAAATAAATATATAACTTTTATAAACAGTAAGGTATTTTGCAGTTACCATGGTTACATGTGTCATGTGTGGTCTAGAATCTAGAGTCTAAGCCCAAACTTCAAAATTTTTACAGTTTTATTAAGTCATTGATGTGATTTGCGGAACTTAAATAAACTTTGCCTACCTTTAGCTTCTTGACCCAGGGTTCTTGCAATAGCCGTCGTCTTCGTACGTCTACAACTAAAACGTGCAGCAATATTGCTATCAGGGAACATCGCTTTCACAAGATTGGTGAAATGATCGGCTGCAGCAAGTGCAATATTGTGATTAAGCCTGAGTCATTACGGTTTTTGTGCTAAACGTTTAACCGTTAAAAGTATACGGGCGGTTTCGTTTAACCGTTTGATAATAATCTGAAAAAGTGAAAATACAGTATTTGTAATAGCGATGTAGCTCGGAACGCCTGATGGTCTTCATACTGTCGGGCTGAGCATTCCAAGCCGGATTATGGCACATTTTGGGTCATCCTGATAAACAGAGACCAGTAATAAACAACATAAAACATGTCTTATTATTCCTCATCTGAATCTGATATCATGATTGACCTTGCAAAGTTACGCTGTGAAGATAGCTTGATCTGTGACGTGTTTATATATGCCTTTGCAATGCAATGTTTGCACGTGGTCAGGGAGAGAGCTCCCTGCATGTATCATTGCCATATGAAATTATGTGGAAGTGTGTATCACACACACCCAAGACACACCCTGCAATGAGCTGATCCAAGTTAGTGACCAATCAGGAAGGTTCTCTAGCTATGTGGGTGGAGTTTGATACCAGCATAAATTACAGGTTGGTGACCGCGCGTGCTTTCACCTTACCCAGTTCAGTGGGAGGTCAAGAAGCCACGCCCACATGTGTGCATGTGACAAGCATGAGCTCTCCATCTGTGTGTATGTACAGTGTATTTGGGCGCCGGAGGTTTGTGTGTACATGTGTGTGTGACTGAGCGAGCATGCATGGGCTAGCATGTCCCTGCATGGACATGAGAGAGTGAAGAAGTAAGACAAGTGAGACTAGATAGAAAGAGTGGCTGTGTTAATCGGCTGAATTGAAGAATGATCAAAAACTTAAATTACTCACAATATCCAAGACTTTGTTATTATAATACATATCAACTCCGTATCACATTGATATTTCTAAAACTTCAATTATTATTGTTATCCTTATTTTTGTATTTTATTTATATATATGAACATTATTTTAGGGGGTGAGTCGGCAAGGGATGGATATTAATATTGAGAGAGAGAGAGAGAGAGAGAGAGACTCGGGGGAGAAGGGATGTGAGAGGAACTGACCATCGAATGTGTAAACATTTAGAACTTTGCTTGTGAGAGTGCAGTAATAAGAAAAGGTACATGAGCGATGAACACATTGCAGAGAGAAGGGAATAAAGAGGGTGAGAAAAGAGAGAAGGGGGCTGGTTGTTTTATTGTTTACAAATTCATTCATGGAGATTACTGCTGCCAGAAAGCTGGCGCGCAGCGGCCAGGGTGTAACATTACATTGCGGTTTATTTAGCACATTCCAAAATGTATGCAAATAACGGTTAAACGGAGCGAGAAATGCTAAACGGTTTTGATGAATGCGGTCAGATAACCGTCGGTTAAACGGTTTGACTCAGGCCTAATTGTGATCGATAAAATAGTTGGTCATTAGCGTTTCGGATCTGATCACTGATACATCCGTTTTGGTTTTCATGGAAGATGCGATGTTTGGCGATTTCTCAGAGGCACTCATTGCATTTAGATGTTTTTTTGTCTTGAGGTGGGCTACGATCTGATTACTGCCTCCCTGAGCGATGGTGAAGTCAGCTCCTCCACAGAGTTTGCAACATGCACTAAACTTGTCTCGCTTCGAAGCAATAATACTACTCCATTTGGCTGCGTACTCTGGTTTAAACCTCTGCTTCCGTACTTTCCCTGTAATTTTCGAAGATGATGCCATTATTCTTCAATAATAATCCACGATATATTATAGTCCAAGAAAAGCTGCACGAAGCACGAAGACATCGAAGGTATAAAACAGCGGCAAGATCGAACAAAAATCGCACATGCACAATACACACGCTGATTTCCGTACATCAACAACTTCGAACATCGCATGTACGTACACACACACACAGCAACATCTATTAACATGTGCATGCAGCGCACACTATACACAGCGTCTATTGACACGTGCGAGTGCGCGAATACATTCATGCATGTACTGTACGGTGATGGGCATCCCTTGCAATCGCCTGCATTTGTATGTGCGTGCGCCCGCGCAAGCTGTACGAATTGCTCACACAACGCAATAGCACAACAATGCATACGCTCGTTCTCACAGCCAACCACGTTCGCACAGCCATACTCAAAACTTTAAAAAAACGTATTTTACCCCCCAAAAACCTATTAATACATTAAAAACGTACTACTTGGCAGCTCTGGTCAACGCACGCAGGGCGAAATGCGCGGCCAACTGTTACCCCGAAAGTGAAAGTTCGCCTTGTATAGGAAATTGGGGAAAAGATTCACTGCAAATATCCTGCGCTCGCGACCAGATCTGCACTGTGACCCCCGGCGCGCCCCCCAAATAATCGTTTGTTTACATGCAGAGCGCCACTACGACAAAATATTGAAAGGTTACAATTTAGGCCGTGGCCGAGCCTGCCACTGTAAACGCACAAAATTGCGGGGCCGAGTAGGCCTGGCTCGGCTACGGCCCGGCCTGGCCCTTTTCTCACTGTTAAGGGGGTCTAACTTACCAATAGCAATCTCCAGAGGGCTCCAGCTTTTCAGTGTCTGTCTTATCCCCGCTATCTTGGGATGAGACCGTCACATCATCCGAGATGTTCTCCTTGCTCTCCACCTCCATCATCACATCTTCCACCATGGATGCTGCCTCCTCCTGCATAGACTCCTGCTCCAGTGTTCGCTCCTCCTCCTCGGTGGTCGTCGTCATGGTTTCCAGGATGCTTGTTTCCACCGTCTCCTGCACATGGACGAGAGCAAAGAAGAGATGTGCAATTTTAAAGGGACTTGGTAACATTGTTAAGATGAGAGAAAATGGTGTTAAGGTAGTGAATTCAATGAATGCTAGATGTACAATTGGAGATAATCTGAAAGTTTGAGTGGAAACAGACCATTATTAATGATACAAATTGGGAAAAACTGATATGATCGATTCTTGAATTCTCCCAACTATTTTAATATAATTTAGTTAAATTTGAGGGTGAATGTAAATCGTCACAAAGCAATGAATTGGTACTATATACCATTCCAGACATATCAGTGTTGAAAGATTTTTAAAAGCCTGTTTTATGTCTTATTTTTCTTGGAAAAACGGTTGGAAAAATTCAAAAATTGGTTGGGAGAATTAACTATTAGAGGGTGTCGCACAGTGACGCCTTCAAAGAAAGCAATAAATATCTTTGTGGTTTGAGAATTTTTTCAGGATTTTGTGCATGTTAGAGGGTTAGTACGGTAGAAGGAATATAATAAATAACATTTCATACAAAAATTACAAAATTTTCATCAGCCTTTAACAATGTTACCGAGTCACTTTAAGAGTCTTTGTTACTGAATTGAGCAAGGCATAGAGACAATTATATACCGCATATATATGAAGATTCTCAGCATTTGACTGGTCAAAACTGTAGGCATGAAATTTGCTACTATTGACTGTCAGGAAGAATAGTGAAAATATTGACTAGGCATAGTTCTACCTGAACGTACAATGCAAGAACGCAATGGTTGTGCATGAAGTAATGATGAATACATGCAGTGAGACATGCACATTACTCTTAGACGGGTAAATTCCTTAAAAGTAAATACATTTTGACAGATATGTTTTGTTTAAATATTTCTTTTTGAGAATTGACAAGGAAGGATGTGGTATATAAAACAAACATTGACTGCTTGTATGGGGATACAGCTAAAACTATAGCTCCTCTGTGATCTCGAGAGACTGCACTATCTATGCCCCTTCACTTCGTCTTGGGGTGCAATTACAGTTTCAAGATTACCTTGACAATATTTTTCACCATGCCCGTCCAGGCAGTCAATATTTATATATTAACTGACTCCAAAGTGCACAATTTTTCAAAGAGTTGTATTGAATTGTCAAATAATTTGTTGATAAATAGGTGCAACTATGCATCATAGTCATTCAGGGTTTCTCTAAAATTCCCAGTTACAATTCTTGCTATCACCACTACGTTATTTGGCTGCACTTTGGCCGTAGAGGGCAGCACTGGCCATGGGTATATATTGCAAAGGCACTTCCGGGTCCCATACAAATACAATGTGCCAAGAAATAATAGTTTTAGAGCCAATCAAATATAAGCAAGTAAACAACAGTTATGATGGTGCCTAAATGCAAATCTAAGAAATTATCATTGGAGTTCATGAAACCTGAACATTTTCGGAAGATCAGGGATTTGTTGACACTGCTGTAAACTCTCAGTGGAAGCCAGAGTAAACCTTGTCTCATCGTCTCCCCCATTTAAAACTTGCTGTGTTAAAAAATATAAATATACCATTACAAAAAGGATGATCTATGATTCTATGATTGATATCGGTAATAACAACCAACCTGAACCGGAATAGCCTCGCTCTCTGTCACCTCCATCGGTTCTTCTGGGGCTTCATCCTTATCACTTGCATCTTCTTCAGCTACTGGCGGTGGTACTGGCGGTGCTGGTGGTACTGTCAATGCCGGTGGTGCTACTGGTGGTGCTGGCGGCGCTGCTACTGCTGGTACTGCTTCTTCACTTGGTTCCTTTGGTTGGTCAGATGGTACAATCCCCTTGTCTTCGTTCTCATCTTCCTTAGGAGCTACTTCCTCAGGTTTCTTCTCAGCCTCTACCTTCACCTCACCCTCTGGCTTCACCTCAGTCTCCATCTCCATCGCTTCACTCTCGGCTAGGGCTGCTGCTGGCTCTTTATCACCATCTGGCTCCTCTTTTTTGTCCTCCATCAGAATTGGTTGTTCTGGTGGTGCACTTGGTGCTTCCAGCACCGGGTCACTAACAAGCACCAGGTCACTAACAAGCAAAGAAAAGAGAAAGATTGATTTGATTTTTTGTGCAGCAAGGGGCTCTGTCTCTGTATCAGGTAGGTTGAATGACATTATGACATATTTTTTTCGTTAAAGAATTCCTTATAGCAGATGGTTAGACTTGGAGTATTTCCGTCTAAAACAAACTTAACTGTATTTTTTAAATATTTTTACTTAAATGTTGTTCTGCTTGCATTTAATGCCTATGGCCATGTATGTACAGGGGAATATTTTTGATCTCGCTAACAATACATTCTTAGTCATCAACCCAACACATAGAAAAGTAGCTTACATTTACGTGCATGCGCTTTACGTTCGGCCGGTCTCAGCCATATTTGGGAAAACGCTGCAACAAGAAGGGCCCTTCTGATTGGCTATCGCTGGCTGCCATTTGCTCAACGTCATTAAATATTACATATTAATGCGAGGAGAAAGCTTGCAATTTTCTGTTTGATCTGATTTCAAAATCATAATACTCCAATCAAACCTTGATTTTGTAAGCATCCTTAGAAAATTAAGTTATTTTACCAAAGTTGAAGCCTTACTTAAAGCCTCGGTCACAAATGCCATTACAAACTGCTACGAACGCCGTACGAATGAGTTTCAGACAATGGAAATTTGAGAAGACAATGGAAAAACAGGGAGATTCGTACGAACCTTTGTGACCACATTAGTTTGATATTAAATTCTCGTTTTCGTCATAGACCTATTTAAGGTACAAACTTGTTAAATCATTGCACTGAAATGTTTGTTGATTTTTCTATTGTATGTGTAGGGTGTCTGAACGATTTTTTCAATTTTCAATTTGGGACCGTTTTTCACCATTATGGTTAAATGGTTAAAAAACAAATGTAATAAGAATGATACATTTCAAATTTCAAGACTCACAATTGTTTCTATCAAAAGATACAGCCCTTCAAAAACTCTGCAATATTCATCCAATTTTTGTCAGAATCGACGAAAAAGACGTACATGCAGAGTTATATTGTTTTGCTAAATTTAGCGAAACAGCTGCATTGCGCAATATGCAAGCGTATGCATGTTGCTAAGCTGAATGCGCAACTTGAGCGCAATCGGCAAGCTTTACGCGTTGTCACCATGGTTGTGACTGAGCGGAGCTCACGCCTCCCTATTTAGCTGATCCAAAAAATGGGGGGGGGGGGAAGAGTATCTTCTAACTGTTATCGCTTGTGATCCCTTGGGGCTAGCAAAAAAAAATAGGCGCATAGATATTTTCCTAATGTCTACATGTAGCCCTGCATAAGCTTGGGGGGCTCACTTCAGGATTGTGGCAAATTTTGGAGCTAGGATGCAAACAACATTTCAATCGCTGTTTTGACCAAGATATTTTTGCAATTCAGAGGGTGAGCCCCCTTTGGGGAATATGGAGAAAAATCTGTTCTTTCTTATAACACCTCATATATTAAGTTTCATCTTCAAGTTCACGAGCGATAAAGGTTTGAATTTCAATTTTTTCATAAAAACATTGACCAATTTCACATGATTGCGCAATGTACGTAGACTGCATAGGGATGCGTGCAATCTCTATGGGAAGGATTTTAGCACACAACATCGGGTGCGCGATCAATAGACCGAAAGCTTCAGTCTCTGATATCGACGGTTGATTCATAAACCCAATATTAAACGAGTGCTCTTTGGCCATTCGCTATGTTTTGGTAGGTTGACCCGGAAATATATCGGCCGGGTCATGTCATAGATTACTAGTTTGAATGGATGAACGGTACGTTTCATGGTTCTGAGATAAAAATTGGATAACTCATATACAGGGCTGTCAACTTTGGGGAACTGCTTCGAGGGAAGTCATATGCAAAATTTTGTTTTGCTAAATGGTAGTGGCGTAGCCTACGCAAGATTTTTTCAAGGGGGGTGTTTTAAAATTTGAAAAATCGCGCCAAAAATTTCGCAACGTCTCAGCCAGCCGCAGAATAAGCAGGGGGGGGGGGCGTGCTGGCAGGACTCTCCCACTACGAGCTATTGGGACGGCAGGAGAATGAGCGTGGTGGGGTGAGACTCCCTCCAAATGCGGGAGGGTTGACAGCCCTGCATATATGTAAGTAAGTCCGGAAATTTCGCATTTTGAAATAAGAAATAAAAAGATGCACAAATGTAAATAGGATAGAAATATTCAGTTTTTTTCTATCTAATTTATAAATCAGAAATTTAGATCTAAATATTGAAAATCGGGGGAGAAAGTGTCCGAGTAAAAAAAGGTACAGAAGTTGGGCAATCTTTCCCCCGGTGCGAGTCGTCTAGATTACCGTCTGTATCCAAAATGTATGGGGTATGTCAACAAATGTCAGTTTTATTAAAGAAATGACCCATATCATTATCAGTCGGTTATTTCTATCTAGCGATCAGACACCCTAGTATATGTATATGTGTATGTATGTTTAGTGTATGTCAGTTATGTGTGAAGTGCGTCACCTGTATGTAAAGCATGACATATCAGTGTGTTTGGTATATTTTTGTATGGTCAATCAACACTATTCAACTCTCTCGCTTTAATGAAAACTAAAGTTAGGGAGGTCAATGCCCGGGCATAAGGCTTCTACGTCTACGATTTGTGCACTCGTCATCCAAGTCAGAAAATTACCAGAAAGAAAAAAAACAAGATAAAAGTATCTATTGAATTATAACATATATACCAAACATACAATTGTTCACTCCACAACATACCTATAAACACGGATCTGTAACGGTCTTTCACCATTTGTTGACCATCTTGCAGATTTTGACGTATTTGAATCCAATAATTGTGGTAGCAGACGAACATGACGCACACACAAGAGAAACTAGACGGCGCAGAGGTTTGCTCACTAAAATCCTTCTCATCGACAGAAGGTAGACCCTAAAAATATGGAATCCGCTTTAAGTCAAGGAACTTTTGATAGAGATTAACATATCAGATGTGCACAAATGCCACTTCTAACAACTAGAAAATATAAACAAAAAAGATTATATCTTTTTAAATACAGATTTTTTAAAAACTGCACATTCGAAGGTAGATAGAGTACAATGTTTATGTCAATCTTGCGTTGGTTTGAGGCCGATAGCTACAGCCATCTCAAAATGAGAAGGAAAATTGTGAACAGTGATGTCATTGTTCGAGTCAAATTTAGAGGTTATTGCGACATATTATATGAATATGTATGAGCTCCGGTCAGATCGAGCGCAAAACAAATTTGGTGTGGTCTCACACATAGTACCTTATTCTCACAGCACTAGACACGAGTGTCGTGCAGTAATGTATGAGAAGTGTTAAAAAAGATATTTCAGTAAAAAAAAAAGTCTACGTGAGCAGTCTATACTCCAATTGAGAAGTGGAATGAAAGCCATGACTTGAAGGTGTGTGTTTATATGATACATGGTTAGTGAATGTGTTACGTATAGCGAGAGAGAGAGAGAGGGAGAAATAATACAGTACACGTCTGCGTACGTACGTTGCATGCAGTCCTATTGTTGATTCCGTATTGTGTCTCCCAGCTCAGTAACCAGTGTGTTGACTCACCACGCGGAAACTACAACAACACTCAAATTTGTCTGTCATCTTGGTTTGAAAGTAATCTTTCTAATAGATCTCAATATGTAGTTTATAATAATAATTCCTCAAATTTTTTTTCTATAACAAATGGTGTACCACAAGGTTCTATCCTAGGTACTCTTTTGTTTTTAATTTACATTAATGATCTTATACATTCTTCTAAAAACGACATTGTTACTATTATTTGTGACAAGTCACAAGCACAAATCAGCGCGTTCAACTGCACCTCGATGTTAAATGAAGGTCCTTCCCTGCGTGGGTTTTCGTAAAAAAAAAAAAAAAAAAAAAAAAACAGGTGCGCCTTATACACAGAGATTTGCGGTACTTTCTTTTAAACTTTGTTTTATTATAAATAAATAGTAATTAAAAAGTTAGATTTTGGTATTGGCCTCCCTACTAAACTAAGTCCACACATACATGTGTAGGTGCATTACTATCCTGGCTGTGTAGTAAAAGCTGTGCTGTTGATTCTCAACATTTCAAACACCACTGTACAAAACTCAACTGATTTCAATAAAAATTGGTACTTTAGTGACAATTGATGACACCTACATGTAAATAGCAGTAAAATACATTTTTCACCTTACTTTTAATACCGGTAAGTTAAAAAGAAATATTTAAAAATTCAAATTGTAAGTCTAGTGTCAAATTTGCTGATCAGCCCAATCGGTCCTATTGTATGCAGTCTATGCAATATTGTGTGGTGTGTATATCTGTGTATAATACCTGCCTCACAGCAAGTATGTAGTGCTAGAGGTCAATACGCATTAGCATTGACTCTCTTAGACAGAAATAACCGTCTGATATGGGTCATTTCTTTAATAAAACTGACATTTGTTGACATTCCCCATATACAGACAGTACGCCAGAGATCTCGTACAGTACGTTCATGCATTCGAAAAATGACCCGCGGCCGATATATTTCCAGGTGAACCTACCAAAACATAGCCAATGGCCAATCAGAGCACTCGTTTCATGGGTCAAGCAGGGCTGACTCATACGTAGCTACGGTAGCTATTGGACGTTGAATGAATATTCATCAACTAAAACCAAGATGGCTAGCAACGAATAAATGACTACGAGACTTTCTCGGATTAATCATTAATTTAGGATCTAAATGAGCAAGCTATCGTAAGTCAAATAAGCAATATATATGTTATTTTTAATTAGACTCTTATTATTGTAATATTGCAGCATTTATGAGGATGTAAATTGTAAAGAGTGAAAATCTTGTTGCATATCTCATTCATCGCGGTCCGACCGAACCGAACCATTTGTTCCGTACAGTCCCCATAGGACGAACTTCGATCAGTCTCTATAATCGGAGGTCTAGTGGAGCTAGACGTAGTCTCAGTGGAACAACCGACGATATAGAGAGACTAAAGCTTTTGGTCTATGACTCTCTATGCTTTGCTGGAGTGACTTAAGTCAAACTCAAAACTGCTCAAGCAGTCAGCCAATGCCATGCCCATAGGAGCGTGTTAATTCTGTTAATTATGTGTACAGCTCTCAGCTCAGCAGTGAGTAAAGTTAACGTGCCCAATACGCATTGAAACCTATTAGCATTTAACACTGCATCCTACGTGTTGCTGGTGTGGATGCCTATCTTTCAACACAGCTCGAAAAGTTTAGTTATAGGCCCAGCAGGTGATAATCCTGTTGAGTCTTCCCACAGATCCAGCAATGGACCTATTGTATTAAGGAACAAACTCTTTACTTACTTACTTTACTTTAATACACGATGTTGTAGGTCTAAGCCTGTTCATCGATCCAGGATTCTTCCAGGGAACTGTGATTTGTGGAGGGAGGAGGTTGTGTAAAACATGAAACAACAGACAACACCTAGACCGGCTCATACAGAAGGCTTGCGTTCTTTGACCAGTGACTATCCAGTCTATTCTTTAATGAGTTGACTGACCCAGCTGCCACAACATTTTCTGGGAGACTGTTCCACAGCTCCACGACTCTATTGCTAAAAAAGTATTTTCTGATATCTAGTCTTGAATATTTCTTTTCTAGTTTTCTAGAGTGACCTCGAGTTCTATCTTCTGTACTCAACTTAAAGGGAATCTCTTAAAACAGTACACTTATCAGGATGAAAGCGAAGCTGCCATTTCTCAGCCCATTCTTCCATCCGTGACAGATCCTCTTGAAGCTGCTTTCTTAAATTTGCAGTATCAGCACGGACATACAACTTTGTATCATCTGCAAACATTGAAATATTTGAGTTCACAAGGTCATTGACAAAAAGCAAAAATAAACACGGACCCAACACACTGCCCTGTGGCACTCCACTCAGTACTTTGCCCCACTTAGACTGCTTGCCTCTGACCACTACTCTTTGCTGCCGTCCACTCAGAAAAGACTCTAACCATGCCAGTACATTCCCACGGACTCCATATGACTCTAATTTGAGAAGCAGCCGGTGGTGAGGCACCGTATCGAACGCCTTCATAAAGTCTAAATATATCGCATCTACTGTGCCTCCATCATCCAAAATCTGTGTCCACTGGTCCAACACCTCTAAAAGATTGGTAATGCAAGACCGACCAACTACAAACCCATGCTGGTGAACTGAAATCAAATCATTCGTCATAAGATGGTCAAGCAATTGCTTACGCACAAGATTTTCCATCATTTTACAAATAATGCTTGTTAGACTAACTGGCCTATAATTTTTACTATCACCTTTGTTACCTTTCTTGAAAATTGGGGTAACATTAGCAGATTTCCAGTCCTGGGGTAGCTGTTTACTTTCAAGACTCTTTTGGAAAAGAATAGAAATTGGTAGAGCTAACACATCTGCTAGTTCTTTAAGTAGACGGGGATGTATGTTGTCAGGCCCCGGAGACTTATTAGGCTTAAGTCTACGCAGTAGTTCAAACACATCTCCTGACGTAATTTGTATGTCGTCTAGTGGAGTGTCAAATTCAACATCTGAGGGGAGAGGGATATCTTGTAAATCTTCCTTCGTGAAAACTGAAGAGAAGAAATCTTGCAAAACATCTGCCTTTTCCTGATCCGTTTCTGTTTTACTCCCATCAGGTTTAGTTAAATTACAGACAATTTCCCAAGTTGTTATTTTTGAGTTTACATATGACCAGAAGGCTCTTGCATTCTTCTTAACTCCTGAGGCTATATATTTCTCATATGAATTCACCGCCTCCCTACACTGCCACCTTGCTTGATTGCTGGATCTACTATAACGTCTTTGCTGTTCAATTTCTGCATTAGAAAACTTTTCCCGATTTTTTTCGCTTTTCATCTCTTGCCACTTTCTGAAATGTCTATGTTTTTCTCTAACAACTTCCAGAGTCTCTCTGTTCATCCAATGTTTTTTCCTCTGACCTACATTTAGTTTTAGTGTTTTCTTTGGTGTATAACGATTAAAGATGTCGAACTATGGGAGGGCATTACAAGACATTGTCTTACTATTAAAGATAAACTCCAGTAGATCTAGAGTAGTGGCTCCGGTCTGCGGCCGATCGGCGGGAACTGCCGATTCTATTTTTATTGGAATACTCACAGAATACTTCAATACCCTCAATAAAAAGTCCATATACTTACTTATTAAATAGAAGTCACAAATAACCTAACTGACCCACAGCGTGGTCAGCATTGACCACGTTTCGAAATGCTTCGAGTTCCCCGGTTTGCGGGCACGCATTACCGGTTTGCGGCACGCATACGTCACAAAGCTTTATGCGCTACATCAGGATGAAAGCATGTACCAAATTACTACGGGCAACCCAAATTCTCATGTTTATCTGTTGCTACGGTAAATTTGTCAAGTTTTAAACAATTTCACCTTTTCCTCGAATGGATCATCCCATCCGGGGGTAAGTACTACTAGAAACTATTGGGTCATAGCGGGTACACACATCAGCACACATACCATCATACACGATCCCGCATGTTATGTGTGTATTAACACCCCCCGCCGCAAACCAGAAAAAACACGTAATTACGTGCCGGGTTGCGGCCACCCCATGCAACTGGCCATGCGGTGGCACAATCAAAATATCTGCGATAGGAGACAGACCACAGCCATCATACTTCCACAAAAACATCAAATTTCACCTCCAATCGGACAAATATCGGACAAATAGAGCTACAATATTGATCTAGTCATGCCTCGATCTCTTAACTTAAAAGTTAGCACCTGCTGGAATTTTCATCGGCGACTGGTGCCGTAGATTTCCGACATCGCTGACGGATACTCCGTACCGACAGGAGCACCTGTTACGGACGTTTTTGGCAAAGCAGAACTTACCGTGGAATCCGCGGTAGGTTTCAATGATTATTATCGAGTCATATTCATTTTATTTTTAAAACAAATACCCCTGGCCGCAAACCGGGCGATGCCGCAAACCGGAGACTCTACTCTACTGGTAAAAAAAAAAAAAAAAATTCTCACAGAATCAAATGAAACTTACACTGAATGTTCAAGATTACAAATAAATGACATGTGCCAAACAATTTTGGAAGAAAATGTATACTGGCCGAGTAATGACCATAGAAAGACAAGGAAATCAAGGTAGTACTAGCCCCGACACCATGTGTGTTGTCCCATATATAGCTTTCTATGTGAGTGCTTGTTACTTTACCAAGACTCGGTCAAATTTATTATGATTTTGATGACTCCAGAACCTTGCAGTGCACACCAATACTTACATGCTACATGATCAACTGTTTCTGATCCTTTCCACACCTTTTCTTTCACAATGCAATCGCATTACCAGTAGGCCTACTAAAGTTTATCTTTAAGGAGCCCGAAAGGACAGGTGAATACAGGTGAACAACCCGAAAGGACAGGTGAATACAGGTGAACAACCCTAAAAATAAAATGTGTTCATCACCAGCACAACCTCACACAAACTTACACAAGTCGGACTGAGCCTCATTCATGACATTCTTATATCAACTTAGATGATACTAATTGGGTATAGTCTAGTAAGACATGTATGTGTTTAAAATCCGTTATACTTATAGGTCTAGATCTAACTAGTTTGTAGAGAAGTTTATAGATCTAGAGTCTATTACGAATATTATCAAATTAATATTCAAATAACTTGAAACCCATCAATACAAAAACAATGTTTTAGAAGAAGAGAATAAAATTACGAACCTGTCTTTGTTTTCCGCCATCACATCTTTCAACAGGTTCAAGCGATCGCGAGCCTCTTTTGGTAGTTTTTCGTTGTTTAAATTTCGTTTTGTAGAAGAATAGATCTAGACCCGGCGCTAATTCAGCAAGGTATCGAAAATATAGCCTACTAAAACAGACCCCAAATTTCGGTAAATAAATAATCAAATGTCCCAATGAAGATAATGGTTTGAGAGGCGTTATGTTTCTTACCTGTTTCGTGTCAATTTTGTTGTATTTGGGAGAGTATTTTTCTGAAAAACATTGATTTTAGCATGCACTTTTTCACAGGTTTCACGCCAAACCGCAGCACAATACAAATGCATAGCCCTACTGTATGGTGGATTGCGTGCGCGGTCGCGCGCTCCTGTGTGAAGTTATCTACCTTATGTAATGAGGATATGGGACAGCAGATAATAGTTGCCAATTTGAGTATATCTAAAATGTATTAAATAAAATGAAATAGTTTTGATTACAGAGTGGTCTTATTCGTTATTACTATGTTGATGGGAGAGAGAGAGAGAAGGAAAAAAGGAAAAGGGGGAAGAGAATATAAAAGGAAAGAAAGAAGATGAAGAAGAAGAAAAGAGGGAAACAGGGGGGCCCGAAGGGCTCTTGCCTCCCCCCCCGCCAAAAATGAATAAGAGAGAGAGAGAGAGAAGGGAAAGAGAAGATAAAGGAAAGAAAGAAGAGGAAGAAGAATAAGAATAAAAGAGGGAAACGGGAGCAAAGGGCTCTTGCCTCCCCCCGCCAAAAATAGATAAGAAAGAGTGAGAGAGAGAGAAGGGAAAGGGAAAGAGAATATAAAAGGAAAGAAAGAAGAGGAAGAAGAAGAAAAGAGGGAAACAGGGGTGCCCGAAGGGCTCTTGCCTCCCCCCGCCAAAAAATATATAAGAGAGAGAGAGAGAAGGGAAAGAGAATATAAAGGGAAAGAAAGAAGAGGAAGAAGAAGAAAAGAGGGAAACAGTGGGGCCCGAAGGGCTCTTGCCTCCCCCCGCCAAAAAATAAATAAGAGAGAGTGGGAGAGAGAGAAGGGAAAGGGAAAGAGAATATAAAAGGAAAGAAAGAAGAGGAAGAAGAAGAAAAGAGGGAAAGAGGGAAACGGGTGGGCGGCGAAGGGCTTACCTCAACCCCCCCCCCCCCGCTTAAAAAAATATATAAGAGAGAGAGAGAGAGAAGGGAAAGGGAAAGAGAATATAAAAAGAAATAAAGAAAGAAGAGGAAAAAGAAGAGGAAAAAGAAGAAAAAAGGGAAACGGGGGCGAAGGGCTCTTGCCTCCTCCCCCCCCCCCCCCCCGCCCAAAAAAAAATAAGAGAGAGAGAAGGTAAAGAGAAGATAAAGGAAAGAAAGAAGAGGAGGAACAATACGAATAAAAGAGGGAAACGGGGGCAAAGGGCTCTTGCCTCCCCCCCCGCCAAAAAATAAATAAGAAAGAGTGAGAGAGAGAAGGGAAAGGGAAAGAGAATATAAAAGGAACGAAAGAAGAGGAAGAAGAAGAAAAGAGGGAAACAAGGGGACCCGAAGGGCTCTTGCCTCCCCCCCCCCCCGCCAAAAAATCAGTAAAAAAGAGTGAGAGAGAGAGAAGGGAAAGGGAACGAGAATATAAAGGGAAAGAAAGAAGAGGAAGAAGAAGAAAAGAGGGAAACAGTGGGGCCCGAGGGCTCTTGCCTCCCCCCGCCAAAAAATAAATAAGAGAGAGTGGGAGAGAGAGAAGGGAAAGGGAAAGAGAATAAAAAAGGAAAGAAAGAAGAGGAAGAAGAAGAAAAGAGGGAAAGAGGGAAACGGGTGGGCGGCGAAGGGCTCTTACCTCAACCCCCCCCCCCCGCTTAAAAAAATATATAAGAGAGAGAGAGAGAGAGAAGGGAAAGGGAAAGAGAATATAAAAAGAAATAAAGAAAGAAGAGGAAAAAGAAGAGGAAAAAGAAGAGGAAAAAAAGAAAAAAGGGAAACGGGGGCGAAGGGCTCTTGCCTCCTCCCCCCCGCCCAAAAATAAATAAGAGAGAGAGAGAAGGGAAAGAGAAGATAAAGGAAAGAAAGAAGAGGAGGAACAATACGAATAAAAGAGGGAAACGGGGGCAAAGGGCTCTTGCCTCCCCCCCCCCCCCCGCCAAAAAATAAATAAGAAAGAGTGAGAGAGAGAAGGGAAAGGGAAAGAGAATATAAAAGGAACGAAAGAAGAGGAAGAAGAAGAAAAGAGGGAAACAGGGGGACCCGAAGGGCTCTTGCCTCCCCCCCCCGCCAAAAAATCAGTAAGAAAGAGTGAGAGAGAGAGAGAAGGGAAAGGGAACGAGAATATAAAGGGAAAGAAAGAAGAGGAAGAAGAAGAAAAGAGGGAAACAGTGGGGCCCGAAGGGCTCTTGCCTCCCCCCGCCAAAAAATAAATAAGAGAGAGTGGGAGAGAGAGAAGGGAAAGGAAAGAGAATATAAAAGGAAAGAAAGAAGAGGAAGAAGAAGAAAAGAGGGAAACAGGGGGGCCCGGAGGGCTCTTGCCTCCCCCCCCCGCCAAAAAAATCAGTAAGAAAGAGTGAGAGAGAGAGAGAGAGAGAAGGGAAAGGGAAAGAGAATATAAAAGGAAAGAAAGAAGAGGAAGAAGAAGAAAAGAGGGAAACAGGGGGGGGGGCCCGAAGGGCTCTTGCCTCCTCCCCCCCCGCCCGGTTGGGGGCCTCTTTTATTCTTATTCTTCTTCCTCTTCTTTCTTTCCTTTATCTTCTCTTTCCCTTCTCTCTCTCTCTAATTATTTTTTGGCGGGGGGGGGGGAGCAAGAGCCCTTCGGGCCCCCTGTTTCCCTCTTTTCTTCTTCTTCCTCTTCTTTCTTTCCTTTTATATTCTCTTTCCCTTTCCCTTCTCTCTCTCTCTCTCTCTCACTCTTTCTTACTGATTTTTTTGGCGGGGGGGGGGGGGGAGGCAAGAGCCCTCCGGGCCCCCCTGTTTCCCTCTTTTCTTCTTCTTCCTCTTCTTTCTTTCCTTTATCTTCTCTTTCCCTTTCTCTCTCTCGCTCTTTCTTATTTATTTTTTGGCGGGGGGGGGGGGGGAGGAGGCAAGAGCCCTTCGCCCCCAACCGTTTCCCCGTTTCCCTCTTTTCTTCTTATTCTTCTTCCTCTTCTTTTTTTCTTTTTATATTATCTTTCCCTTTCCCTTCTCTCTTTATCTCTTATTTATTTTTGGGCGGGGGGGGGGGGGGGGGAGGAGGAGGCAAGAGCCCTCCGCCCACGTTTCCCTTTTTTCTTATTTTTCCTCTTCTTTCTTTCTTTCCCTTCGGGCCCCCCTGTTTCCCTCTTTTCTTCTTCTTCCTCTTCTTTCTTTCCTTTTATATTCTCTTTCCCTTTCCCTTCTCTCTCTCTCTCACTCTTTCTTATTTATTTTTTGGCGGGGTGGGGAGGGGGGGGGGGAGCCAAGAGCCCTTTGCCCCCGTTTCCCTCTTTTATTCTTATTCTTCTTCCTCTTCTTTCTTTCCTTTATCTTCTCTTTCCCTTTCTCTCTCTCACTCTTTCTTATTTATTTTTTGGCGGGGGGGGGGGGGGGGGGAGCGGGGGAGCGGGGGGGGGGGGGGGGGGGGAGGCAAGAGCCCTTCGCCCCCCAACCGTTTCCCCGTTTCCCTCTTTTCTTCTTATTCTTCTTCCTCTTCTTTTTTTCTTTTTATATTATCTTTCCCTTTCCCTTCTCTCTTTATCTCTTATTTATTTTTGGGCGGGGGGGGGGGGGAGGAGGAGGCAAGAGCCCTCCGCCCCCGTTTCCCTTTTTTCTTCTTTTTCCTCTTCTTTCTTTCCTTTTATATTCTCTTTCCCTTTCCCTTCTCTCTCTCTCTCTTATATTTTTTTTAGCGGGGGGGGGGGGGGGGGAGGCAAGAGCCCTTCGCCCCCAACCGTTTCCCCGTTTCCCTCTTTTATTCTTATTCTTCTTCCTCTTCTTTCTTTCCTTTATCTTCTCTTTCCCTTCTCTCTCTCTCTCTTATTTATTTTTGGCGGGGGGAGGCAAGAGCCCTTCGGGCCCCCCTGTTTCCCTCTTTTCTTCTTCTTCATCTTCTTTCTTTCCTTTTATATTCTCTTCCCCCTTTTCCTTTTTTTCCTTCTCTCTCTCTCTCTCCCATCAACATAGTAATAACGAATAAGACCACTCTGTAATCAAAACTATTCCATTTTATTTAATACATTTTAGATATACTCAAATTGGCAACTATTATCTGCTGTCCCATATCCTCATTACATAAGGTACATAACTTCACACAGGAGCGCGCGACCGCGCACGCAATCCACCATCAGTACAGTAGGGCTATGCATTTGTATTGTGCTGCGGTTTGGCGTGAAACCTGTGAAAAAGTGCATGCTAAAATCAATGTTTTTTAGAAAAATACTCTCCCAAATACTACAAAATTGACACGAAACAGGTAAGAAACATAACACCTCTTTAATCATTGTCTTCATTGGGACATTTGATCATTTATTTACAGAAATTTGGGGTATGAAATTTGGGGTCTGTTTTAGTAGGCTATATTTTGGATACCTTGCTACACTAGCGCCGAAACATAACGCCTCTTAAACCATTATCTTCATTGGGACAGGGATATGTGAGTTTAACTCACATATCCCTGATTGGGACATTTGATTATTTATTTACCGAAATTTGGGGTCTGTTTTAGTAGGCTATATTTTGGATTCCTTCTAGTACTACCCTGATTTTCTTATCTTTCTATGCTCATTACTCAGCCAGTATAAATTTCCTTCCAAAATTGTTGGGCACATGACATTTATTTGTAATCTTGAACATTCAGTGTAAGTTTCGTTAGATTCTGTGAGAATTCATTTTCTTTTTTTTTACCAGAACTCAAGTTTATCTTTAACAAGCCACCTAACTGAATACATATGCGTGGAGGCATGCATGCCCACAACGATATAGACTTGTTTGAGGCATTCATGCAGGACGCTGCTGAGCTGTACAAGCCAAAGGAATAGACGAGGTAAGGGTCTTAATTTTATACTTGTATTATTGTAAAGGTAACCCTAGTAAGACACCGGATCCCGCTTACCCTAGGACACCGGGTCTCGCTTACCCTAGGACTTTTTTCTATCACCTTCTCTTATGTTATTCTTTCTTTGTATCATTCTATCACTTCTTCTTTCTATCTTTCCTTATGTTATTCTTTGTTTCTTCCTTCTATCACCTTCTCTTATGTTATTCTGTGTTTTACCATTCTATCACTTTCTCTTTCTATCTTTCCTTAGACCTATGTTATTCTTTGTTTCTTCCTTATACCACCTTAATATGTTATTCTTTGTTTGTATCATTCTATCACTTTCACTTTCTATCTTTCCTTATGTTATTCTCTGTTTCTTCCTTCTATCACCTTCTCTTATGTTATTCTTTGTTTGTATCATTCTATCACTTCCTCTTTCCATCTTTCCTTATGTTATTCTTTGTTTCTTCCTTCTATCACCTTATCTTATGTTATTCTGTGTT